ATATATATATATATTATATATATGTATATATATATATATATATATATATATATATGTATATATATGTATATGTATACGTATATATTATTGATTTCATAGAGAAAGGGAGAGGGAGAGAGATAGAAACATCAATGATGAGAGAGAATCATTGATTGGCTGCCTCCTGCATGACTCCACCAGGGATCAACCCCACAACCTGGGCATATGCCCTGACCAGAATCAAACCGCAATCTCCCGGTTCATAGGTTATGCTCAACCACTGAGCCACGCCAGCCGGGCTGTTGTGGGCTTTTTAAAGAAGATGCATATAATTGCAAAGAATATTTAAAGAAATAATAAATGACTTACTTCTTCTGTATTAATAATAAGCTTAGCTAAGAAGAGACGAATATTCAATGATACCAATGGATTTCCTAGTTTGTCATGAAGAAATTTCATCCAAGGAGGAAGATGTGTTGGCACTGAACCCTGAAATGATACATTCAAAATTACCTTCAAAAGTAGACTAAAATAACTTCATATTTTGATATTATGAGGCAACAATGACAAAGTAAAAGATGAACAGCAAAAATCATGTTTATTTGATATGGAATTTGGTTTTAGTCTGTGATATTAAATGTTCTTTTTTTTTTTTTCACTTTTCACCTGAGGACATGCTTTTACTGATTTTAGAGAGGAAAGGAGGAGAAGGAGGAAGAGAGAGAAACATCGCTGTGAGAGAGAAACTTCAATTGGTTGCCTCTCTTACTCACCCCAACCGGGGATCAAACCCACAACCTGGGTATGCACCCTGACCGGGAATCAAACCCGTAACCTTTCAGTGTACAGGACGACATCCAACCAACCAAGCCACACTGGCCAGGGCTAACTGTCCATTCTTATGTGACATCAATGAATATAATTAAGTGAGACAATGTAAGATACTGAAGACAGACCTCTTCTCCTTTAGGTAGGATCTGATTTCTCTGCATGTGCTTAATCAGGGCTGTCATGGTGGCCATGCATTCGTGTTGATTGAGTTCATCCATCTCTAACTCCAGGATATCATCTTGGATCGTGGGGTCTTTATGCTCCTACAAAAAGGTAAGAATCCGATTATGTAGAGTACACTGTTAAAATTTCAGTGTACAAGACATTCTGACTTTTTGGGCAATATCATGAAATACACATGTAGGTAACAATGATAATTTGGTAATAATATCAAATACACTTGGTATGTTTTCTTATTAAACAACTAAAAAATAAACAGAACCTCATGTCTTCCTTACATTCTATTTCCCCTCTATGCCTAGTCTATGTGGTCACTCCCTTGAGGTCACACTCAGGTCACAGTGTATATACAGACATATGCTGCTTTGTAGAAACACTAAGATTTTTACAAATCTATGTGTATTGAAGGCCTCAGAACCCTCACCACCTTGAGAGCAATAGCTCATGATTAAGTGTCACTTTATGGAGAAAGTGAAGCTATTAAATATTAAAGTATCATTAAGATAATGTTTACCTATTTTTTCTCAATAATCTGAAAAAAAGTTTTTCTCTGAAAATCTTTGTAAAGTCCTCAATTTGCCTTAAAATTGTAATCAATAGAACAAAACTTTTAAACCATTCTTTTTTTTTTTTTAATCATCACCTAAGGATATATTTTTTATTGACTTTAGAGAGAGGAAGGGAAAGAGAGAGAGAGAAACATCGATCGGTTGCCTCCCATACATGCACTGACCAGGAATCAAACCTGGAACCTAGGTATGTGCTCTGACCAGGAATAGAACCAGCAAACTTTTGGTGTATGGGACGATGCTCCTACCAACCAAGCCCCCTAGCTGGGGCTTACGCCATTCTTGATCATAAAATCTCTGAGAAAATACAGCAGTGATAATCATTTTTTACATGTAATGATGAATTGAGGTTTGACATACACATTCAGTAAATTTCATTCACACATACATACACGTACATGTGCGTGCACGTGTACACACACACACACACACACACACACACACACACACACGGAGGCTAAACAATCTGTCTGGGATGTTTTCCAGCACAGATCACTTCCAGGAAAAAAAGACTTGAGAAATCCTGAGAGGACATTTTTGGACAGCTAAAAGTCAGCTTGGGGCTACCAAGTGCTTACAGAGATTGAGTAGAAAGAGGAATAAAGATGGCCCTAGACAAATGTAATGCTGTCTGTCCTAGTGGCAGGAACTATCCCAGAATGTCACTTTCCAAGATGGAGAGTATTTGAAAATGTGCTCCCTTACAACCATTGAGTCCACTGTCTACTTCTTCCCAAAGATAATGGATATTTTCTGTAAATTGAGGTTTTAGAAATGACCGGGAGTAGTATTGTATTTCAGTAACAGGAGTAAATAACATTGTAACAGAAAATTTTATACACAACTAGAGGCCCAATGCACGAAATTCATGCAAGGGGCTTGGCCCTCGCAGCCCCGGCTTCATCTGGAAGGTTGTCCGGAAGGTCGTCCGGAAGGTCGTTTGGCTGTCTGGACTAATTAGCATATTATGCTTTTATTATTATAGATTGGAGTTACATGAAACAAGAAACAAACACTTTTCAGTAAGCCATAAAATCCATCACAGAAATCTCAATGTCCCTCTTTTCACAGACCTGGTGAAGTGTCAAAGGAGTTAATCATGACATTTGACTGTATTCAGATCTAATCAACAATGATTTTTACTCAGAATGATTGTATCTCAACATGCTGCTCACAAGGACTGAATAGATCTAAAACTAAAGACTCAGGTCTTGCGATCAGACAGAAGGCATGAGGAGTGAACCCAAGATGCTCTGATGTAAGTGACAATGAAGCCACAATAGAGAGAGGAAGGAAGAGGGAAAGGTATAGAGAGAAACACTGACATGATAGCGAAACATCGACTGGCTGCCTGCTGCACGTGTCCCAACTGGGGATCAAACCCGCGACCCAGGCATGTTCCCTAACCAGGAATCAAGCCAATGACGTTTCAGTGCATGGGATGCCCAACTGAGCCACAACAGCCAGAGCAAAGTCACACTTTTTTATTGCCCAACCACAGATGTATGGCATTATCTTGGTGAAAGAACTAATGAATGGCTTCCCCTTTGAAGTATTCATTAAAAAAAGAGAGAAACCAACCCCAGGGTGCAACATAAAACACAAACTCAACTTTAAAAACACATCACTGCTCCCTCCCTCCTTCTCAGGTAAAAAACCACGGGCAGATCAGAGTGGGGCAAAAGTTGCTGGCAATATGTAGGGAGACAGGGGAGGAGGAGAGTGGGGTACCCACCTTGTAGTTCAAGGCCCACTCCAGGTATGCGTCAGTGTATGGAAGAGGTCTTAGGGGTCAAAGGGAAGAGGGAGTGAGGTAGTGCATGTCAGAGAAACTGGAATGGACAAAAATTTGAAGGAACCCTGGATGAGAACCAGGTGGGAGTGTATGATATGCATGAGTGTGCCTGTTACGTGCACAGGTGTGTGACATGGTTCCTATCTCTGCCCATGAGAAGACTTGTAAGCAGCTTTCTGCTGTTCTCCACCCACAGGAACCAGGCTCCCTAGAGAGACAGCCCACTCCAAGGCTGAGGCAGGGGAAGAATTAGACCACCTGTGAACATTTCCTATGCCAGCAAGTAAGGAAGTGACCAAAGAATGACAAAGAAGCCAGCAGGAGGTACTCCCATTGGCCAACCTTGGGACAATTCGGCATCAAGGTAAATTATAACCCACTGAACAAGGTAAGAATGCAGATCGTGCTGATAAAAATTAAAACAAAATAAATGGGGAGAAGAGAAAGCTCTTCACTGTGGTAGAAGGCCAACTAATAACTATGGAATAAGAAAATAACCATTTTGTAACCAGCATAGCAATAACTGATTCAGGGAAGATACATCAATGACTGCTAAAAACTAGTGGGTGAAAAGTAGGATTAGGGAATGATAGCCACCCCCTCCCCCACACGAGAACACAGCAATGCTCTGGCATACCCCTGCCAAAGTTCCTAGTCTGCTTGTGAGGAAGAGTTGGACAAACACTAAGTGAGGGGCATTGTACTACAGGGGAGCTACCGGCTGGTCCTGGTCTGGATCCTTCTGCTACAAGGATGTACGAGACACAGGGCAGATCCTGAGGGGTGTCTCTGTGTTGTAACTCTTACCTATGCTAGAAATGGTTTCAAACTCAAAAGCAGCATGTCACTTTACAAAGTAAAGGACAATAAGAAAGATGGACAAAGGGCACACACAGGTGATGTACTGCCTGCCTGCAATATCCAAACAGATCATTTTCAGGAAGGCTAGCACAGTCATAAAGGAATGTTGAAGAATGAGTTCCGATCGGGATGTAGACAGGAATGTCATAGATCAAGGGTGGGGAACCTGTTTTCCTGCCAAGGGCCATTTGGATATTTATAACATCATTCTCGGGCCATACAAAATTATCAACTTAAAAAGTTAGCCTGCTGTGCTTGGTCAAACATTTAATTAACTCACCCCTTCACTGGCCTTGTATGTCCTGCGGGCCGGATGTTCCCCCACCCCTGCCATAGATGATAAAATAAAACTTTGGAACATACACAGACTCTGAAAGTCTGGTAAAGAAAATTAATAGGTGAGAGTACAGAGAGAGAAAGAAACAGGTGAGGGGCAGAGGAGGGGAAACAAACACATGGTATGTCTTCTCTTTGAATGAATGGAAAAGAGTGAGATTAATCCAAGCTAAGAAAAACAAAACAAAAACAACACCAACTTGAGGTGTAGGAAATACTTAGTAAATGAGGATGTGAAAGAAACTATTATAAGTTGCTGGGACCAACACAGGAAAAAAACTGAATTCTACTTCTAAAAAATAATAATCAAAATCATTCCATATTCTATGCCCTTGTCACCAAGAATTTACTCTTTAAGAATTAAGCTACCATTTTTGAGTATCAGTGCATTCAGTTATCTCTGTTTGGTAACATTAAATATTGGAAGAGCTTCTTCGATCTCTCCAAAGAGAGATGGCAACAGTCATATCAGTATGAACGTTTGAGTCTCAATAGCAGTTATCTTTCTCACTGGAAATCCTTAAATGCGGTTCTCACTTAAAGCATTAACCTCAGAGGCTGGCTAACGTGAGTCAGCCTGGGAGCGAGCCTTCCTGCTGTGGTGATGGAATCAAATTGCTGTGTCTGCAGGAAGACAGGCTGGGCTTAGAAAATTCTCCAAACTAATACTATTCTCTGAAGCCTACTGATGGAGAGCGGCTTCCTACGTTAACAACACAGCCTCTCTTCCTTTACAAATGCTAACAATATTCTGTAATATATAAAATGTGATCACCTGTCTTCGAAAATGACCAATGGTAGACTTAGGGTCTCGGGAACTGTATGAGTAGCTCTGAACTCCAGTTGAGAAGTCAAATTGACTCATTTCCTCACTCAGACTACTGTCTGCCAAATATGACAAGGAAGATATGTAATGAGGACCACCTGAAATATAAGTAAAAAGAAAACATATTATTCAAGTATAGTAAGAAATGCATCTTTTGAAGCTCAGTTAATATTAAGGGATACCGTCAACTAAGGCTTTCATCACCCCTATGCTTCTCAACTCATTATCCAGATTAACAAAGCAAAAAGGAAATGGGGCAAAGACCCCTTTTGCTTTTCTCATTATTGACTAGTTATTTTCTGTCATGGACAAAGAAATTAAGTTAAACTAGATCCAATTTTTAGCTATATTAAGATTATTTGCATTTAAAATTTTAACAATGTACATTTTGCCCACGAAAGGTAGTATAAATGTGGGAAAAGATACTAGTGAAAAATAACTAATCCTAAATATGTAAGGAATTTGGGAAACTGATCCAAATTTTATCCTCAAGTAAAGAAAGCAAAGCTATGCAGGAAAATTAAGCAGAAAATCGAAACAACGTGTATGTGGAGAGAGAGAGGGTTCATCTTACATAGGGAGTCCAGGGAGAACTTCCTTCAGGAGTTGGCATTAAACAAAAGGTCATAATCCAGGTAGGTATCTGGGGCCAAGGTTATTTCAGGCTGAGGGAACATACATGCAAATGCCCGGAGGCAAAAGTGAGCCCAGTGCCTACAGGCACAGGCAGGGGGCCATGCTGCTAGAGAGGAACGAGCAGAAAGTAGAGTGACAGGGAAGTCAGGGCCTCGGACAGCTCTGTCTTGAGGGCGATGGGAGCTAACGTGAGGTGTAGCAGGATGGAACTTGTATTTTACACAGAGATTTCTAAATATATCTAAATAATATAATCCATATGCAAACAAATAAATATCAAGCCAATCCTGCACTAAAGTGTACCATACCTGAGCCTCCGGAGGCCACTTAGAGATCTTCTATGCAGTTAAAGTTTAGTTTAATTGCATTTATTTCATGATACAATTCCACTCACCACTTAAAATTTTTTCAAACTGAATTTCAATGTTTTGGGGTATTTAAGGTATTTTTCTATTATGTAACAAATATCAACCATTAGAATCTTTCTCCTTATTTTGAAAACATCCTACCTGAATCCCCATTTGCTGCTTCCCTGGCTTCTTTCCTAATTTCAATGTACTTTTTCTTTCTTTCCATCGGAACCTATTAGGCAAATCAAATACACAATTTAAGACTTTTTAGAAACATGGCCACCTGTTTTCTATGTTAGTAGCAATCTAGCAAAAAAGTAATTTTTAAACAAAACTTTTATCAAATTTAAAAGTATTAAACAGTATTCACAAAAAAAGACAAGTGAGTACCCCTTAAGGAAAGCTCTTTCCACAGGTTCCCACAGAGCCCCGGAGAAGCACATGCCTTCTGGGCTCTGGGACAGTATTTGCTAAGCTCTTATAGCCACAAGCCTGGATTACCAATAGTCTGTACTTGACCTGTGAGCCTGTTTCCTCAACGGTTCTGATACGTCATAGCACCTTACAGTGCGGTTGTCAAGTTCAGAAGTCATACACAGCAAGTGCCTGCTTAATAAACTAGTGCTGTTATTTTTTTGTTTTAGTTCTTGGAACGTATGTCTAGAAAGAAGTTTCCAGTCTTATTCCAAAAGGGCACAAGGCAGGAAGCAACCATTTATGTGAACTCGTGAACCCTAAGACATGGTTGCGGTCAGCAGCTGTGAAGAGACGCGAATGACAGCTCCTGGCACAGCTCTGTCCTTTAGCACGCGGTGCATGAGCTTTGGTTCTCTGCCCAACTTCATTTTTCCACAGGGCTGGGAAACACTGCAGCCACCACCTTTCCATCAACTGCTTAAGGGTGTGCATCAAACTGAGCTTGGCTAAAATAAAGCTGGTCACATTTGCCAGAGCAAATTTTGCAATTATCCCCATGACTTCTCATGGCACCCTCATATCCTGCCAAATAAACACAACCAGGGCCAGAGGGTCATAATTCTGTATCCAAATGGATCTCAATTTCATTGACCAGAGGAATTTACTCAGAAAACAACTTCTGGGATATGTCCTAACAGCTTCTTTTATTGGCACTGTCTTTCTTTTACAAGTCAAGAAAGGGAAAAATAAGTTTGATGAATTTCGTTGGAGTTGCCTGAGATTGTACCTCAGGTTGAACTACTTGAAAGTGCCAGTGTTTGTAGTTCCAAGCAGATCTGAATACTGCAATTTCATATGTTCAGCATAATACATATTTTCCTGTATAAGCACTTGGTAAGTTTTTTAATTTAGAAACACCATTGAAAAAGTTCACTCACCTCCACTTCCACGGGAAATGTATAGCAGCGGTTCAGATCTACCAGATTTTCAAAGATAAGCAAGTTCTGTGAATTCAAAGGATTGTAGAAAAATATCTGAATGGTTAAGATCCTTACTACTGATGTTACTACAAAATTAGTAACTCATGGAGAAGCACTTCAGCTTTATATATATGAGGAACTAAAAGAATTACATCTACAGTTTTATAAGAAGGTGCAAATTATAATATAACTTTAATTGATGTAATCTAACTTTTGAAATCCTATAATGATAGCAATATTAAACACATCAGGAAAGGCCTACCTTTTCTGGTTTTTCACTAAACAGAAAACCTTGGTAAAATTTTAATTCATTAAAGACACAGCAGATAAGAGAAATGGCACAGTTGTAGGCAGCACAATGGTACAGTCTTCTCCTCTCCAGCAACTGATTCTCACCAGCCATGTTCTCTGTAAACGCATCATAGCACAGTCTGCAGAGGAGATCCAGGTTAAAAATTAATTCGTGTAACAGGGAAATCGCTGCTCAAGTCCAACAATGCCAGACAACAGGACTTCAATTCAGTTCAGGTTTGTGCCCAGCTGAGTACTAGGCCCTGGGACTAGAAGACGAGCAAGTCACTGTCCCGGGATTTCACCACACTGCAATAAGCAGAGAGCAACAAGCACAGTAAGGTAAGAAATGGAAGTACGGAGGACAGAAAGCAGTCCAGCAAAAGAAGCCAAGAAGAAAGGTTTTAAGAGAAAATATAGGAGTTTCAAATTATAAACTAGTCAAAGGGAAGTATACACAGGCAGCAGAAGCAGAGAGAAGAGTGTCACTTATAACAAGGGATAAACTGCACAGTGTGTTCCAAGGACAGAATGTAAAACAGTGGCTAGCAGCAAGTGAAAGGTGCGTTCCCGGAAGAGCTCACTGCCATAAGGAGCTTTACTGGAACACAGCCATGCCCATTAGTTTACATGCTATTTATGGTTGATTTGGGGTAGCAGCTGCAAATGATGGTCCGCAAAGCAAAAAATAGTTACTATCAGGCCCTTTGCAAAAAAAGTTTGTCAACCCTGCTACTGAAGATGAGGTTCCTTAAAAGGGTGTTAGGCAGGGAAGTTAAACAATCAGAGCTGAGAGAGACAATCCTAGGAGCAGGGAGAATAATTATGAAGGAGACTACTAGAGTGTTCACCGAAGAACAGCAGACCCAACAAGGCTGCGCAAAGGGGAATGAAATGAAGGCAGTGGTTTCGGGAATACTGAGGAGATAAAAATCCACTGGTGACTGATAGGATGTAGGTGAAGGAAGAATAAACTACAACACCCAAGTCTTGGTTTTGCAAATGAGACTTGGATGGGCCTGTCATAGACTGAGAAGAAAAGTAAGGATGCTATGTTTGTTCTGAATATGCAAAATTGGACATGTCAATCAATGTGTATGTTCAATATTTACTAAGAAGTAACTTCAGTAGAAGGCTGTTTTTAAAGAAAATGTATTTGATTACTTTGTGTTTTGTAAAATGTCTGCTTAAAAAATAGTTTAACACTCCTTTAATTTCAAATAATAGAAAATAATAAAATATACCAAATTCCTTCTTACTGTATGTGATACCACTAAAAATATATAAAGCTACTGAGGTTTAAATTGAAAGGAAAAAAGAGTTAAAAAAAAGATTTTTGTTCTTTATAAAACATAAGTATGTTACTCAATAACAAACTAAAGTCCAGTTAAGAAGGTTGTAAATAAGGAAACTATAAAATTCAGTATTTAAACAAACTTAAAACATTTATTCATATTATGTATATGAATAAAAATATATATCAAAAATATTATATCAAATACAACATAAAAGTAACTAGAACCTTACTTAATAAGTGTCTTTGTAAGTTCACTTCCTTCTGTTACACTGGAGCCATGAAAAACTTGATTAATTTTGGATTCCTTAGAGTGAACATCATCTTTTGGAAGACGAGAATACATCACCTCTAATATTTTATAATAGCCCATCTTCTTGGTGATTTGAGTATCAAAGGTAGATTCGTTTAGCTAAGAAAAGGAAACAAATAATTATCTTTGATCTTATCAAACATGAAAAATACTTTACAGACTATATCAAATTTAATACTTAATGCCCTTTATATAGAAAGTAATTCCAGCAAAGATGTTAAATCACTTCAATGAGAGACAGCCCAGGGTCTAAAACATGGATATAAATATTGATGTGTTATATTCAGTGCAGCGTAAAATAAAGCACAATGTCCAAATAGTGAGCTTAGAGTATGAGTATACAAGTTTTGCATAAAATCTTATTGAAGGTATAATGATAGCAGCAGAAAATTCAATTATTAGAAAACAAAATTTTCAACTATGTATATTAACAATTTGCCATTTGGGTATTTACAACATTCCCAACAGTATTCTGCAAACTCTAAATGTCTCCCACCCCCAAAAGTTATCCACACTCCAATCCCTGAAATATGTGAATAAAACCTCATAAGGCAAAAAAAAAAAAAAAAAATGAGTTTGCAAATGTGATTAAGTTAAGGATCTTAACATGGGGATATAATTCTGGATTTTTCATGTGGACCCCAAATAAAACCACATGCAGTAAGAGGGATCTAGGAGGAGATAAGATAGGCAGGAAAAGCAAAGTGACAATAGAGGCAGAGACTAGAGTAGTGCAGTCACAAGTCAAGCTGGAAGTGGCAAGGAATGAGTACTCAGAGCTGCTGGGGCATGTGTGGCCCTTGCCACACCTTGACTTTGATTCAGTGAAACTGATTTGGGACTTCTGGCCTCCAAAACTGTGAGAGAATAAATTCCTGTTGTTCTAAGCCTCCAAGTTTATGGTAATTTGCTACAGCAGATTCACAAAACTAAAACATATTTTGGAACCAAGAGTTGGGGGCTGCTGACAGAAAAAGCCTAGATTGATTTGTAGAGATTGTTGGTAGAAATATCGACATTAAAGGCATTAGTGGTAAGGGCTCAAAAGGAAATGAAGAGATGGGAAAGAAAGCCAATATTGTCTTAGGGAATATCTCAGTCATGATAAACATATTTTTGGTAGAAATACGGACATTAAGTAGTTGCTGGTGAGGTCTCAAAAGGAAATAAGAAACATATTTTTACTAACTGAAGGAAACAAGATCCTGGTTAAATAGTGTCAGAAAACTTAGTTGAATACTAGTCTATAGCTGTGCAGAAAGCAGAACTTATAAGCTATGCAACTGAATATTTAACACATTGCGGACCAGTAGTTTTATTGCTAGCGTTACCCAGTGGCCAGATAAGTTTCTACTGAACGAGTACAAAAAACATTTTACATAAATGTTAAAGGCACGCTTTAGAATTAAATACCCATTGCATTTTGAAGTTATTTATTACATGTTCTTACAAACTAATATCTTCTCTTTTTTTTGCATTTTGAATAAGTTTATTTAACTTTTTTTTATTGCTTAAAATATTACAAAGAGTAGTACATTTGTCTCCTTTTTTTCCCCCTTGACCTTCCCCCAGCCTCCCCTACCCCCCAGTGTCTGTGTCCATTGGTTATGCTTATATGCATGCATACAAGTCCTTTGGTTGATCTCTTACCCCACACCCCCGCCCCGCAATATCATGATTGGCCACAAGCCTTAGAACAGAAAACACGAGAATTCTCAAGATCCGTCTGCAATGTGTTAACTAAGAAGCTTTACAACAAATTTGTTGAAGGTGCTGCCTGGTTCCTTCTTTATGCTTCTAATAAAATGTGAGGTACAGACATAAATTGAGGTAAGAACTGTTAAGCAAAAAGAACCAGAACTTGATAACTTGGGAAATTCTCTGCCTATCCAGATTGTGAAAGATGCTAACAATAGAAGATTCACTGTTAGGAAAGTGTGCGCTGGAGAAAAGACTAAGGACAATCTTTGACTAAAGCTGAAAAAATTAAGCATGTGACTCATGGACCAGAAACAGAGATGAGACTATCCTGCAAATATCTGTGGAGTAAATCTCCAGACATGTAAGACGGCCATAGGTTTTTGAGTGTATACCAGAGGAAACACCGAGATGAAATGAGGGGGGGAAAAATCTACAGGCAAGAAAACACATTGATAAAACTACTCAGCTGCGAGCATATGCTACCCTTCAAGGAAAAAAAATAACTCTAAGATGGAGACTTTGGTCCAGAGGGAAGAGCGTCAGGACACAGAGCATGATTTCTGGTCTTGAAACCTAATAGCATCTGGCTTGCTGACTTTTGAGACTGCTTTCAAACACTAACTCCTTTCTTTCGTCCATTTTCTGTTCTTGGAATATGAATATCCATAATTATCATCCTATGCCGGTCCCACCACTGTATTATGGAAGCAAACTGTTTTCTAGTTTCACAGATCCACAGATAGAATTTTGCCCCAACGGGGATCATACCCAGAATCCCACCCATACCTGATTTATATGATGAGGTTTTGAACTTTGAGCTGATAATATTTAAATGAGATTTTGCACTAAAGAGTTGATGCTGTAATGAGTTTAGACTTTGGGGGATGTTGGGATGGAATAAACTTATTTGGCAAGTGGAAACATTTGGGCAGGTGTATAGTGTTAGGGTGTATAACAGCCCCTAAAAGATATTCATGTTCCATCCCTAGAATCTGAACTTTACAGGAGAAAAAAGGATTATACAGATGAAATTAAGTAAAGGACCCTGATATTAGGAGATTATGTAATTGGGCCCTAAATGCAATGATATATTTATAAGATGGAGGCAGAGAGAGAGAGAATTTAGACAAAAGAGGAGGAGGCAATGTGACCACATAAGCAGAGATAGGAGTGATGCAGCCACAAGCCAAAGATTACTAAAAGCCTCAGGAATCTGGAAGAGGCAAGGAATAGATTCTCTAAAGCAAGCACAGCCCGGGCCAGACCTTGATTTCAGCCCAATAAAACTGATTTCTTGTTTATGGCTTCCAAAACTAAGAGAATAAGTTCTGTTGTTCTAAGCCACGTTTGTGGTAATTTGTTACCACAGGAAACAAATAGAGATCCGATTTAACCACAGATTGTTATCTAAATGCAAAAATAATGCTCCTTGAGCAACAGAAACCCTTTGACTGAACACATGGCAGTTTTTTAAAATAATATTTTCTTTTTCAATTACACTTGATGTGCAATATTATATTAGTTCCAGGTATACAAGCCAGTGAATTAGATATTTATATAACTTATGAAGTGACCACTCCAATAAATCTAGTACCCATCTGACACCATACATACTTATCACAATATTACTGACTGTATTCCCTTGGCTATACTTTACATCCCCATGACTAGTCTCTAACTACCAATTTGTACTTCTTAATCCCATCTCCTTTTCACCCATCCCCAAACCCCTCTCCTATCTGGCAACAATCAAAAGTGCTCTGTATCACCCTGGCTGGTTTGGCTCAGTGGATAGAGCGTCGGTCTGTGGACTGAAGGGTCCCAGGTTCGATTCCAGTTGGGGGCATGTGCTGGGGTTGCGGGCTCGATCCTTCCCAGGGGGGGCATGTAGGAGGCAGCCAATCAATGATTCTCATCATTGATGTTTCTATCTCTCTATCCCTCTCCCTTCCTCTCTGAAATCAATAAAAATATACTTTAAAAAAAAGTGCTCTGTATCTATGAGTCTGTTTCTGGTCTGCTTGTTTATTTTGTGTGTGTTTTTGGATTCCACATAAGAGTGAAATCATATGGTATTTTTCCCTGTCTGACTTATTTCACTCAACACAATACCCTCTAGGTCCATCCATGTTGTTGAATAGGGCAAGATTTCTTTCTTTTGTATGGCTGAATCATATTCCACTGTATATATGCACCACTTCGTCTTTATCCATTCGTTTATTGATGAACACTCAATGTGGCTGTTCTGTAGTTTAGTTGTAATTTTGATGTAGTTGTGGGAGGATGCAAGGACCACATTTATCTATGTCGCCATCTTGATCAGAAGCCCCCACATGGCAGTTTCTAATGACATTGATCAGGGCGACCTGTCAATTCTTATTAACATTTCATGAATAAGAGATGTATGATACCTTTGTAAATCTGGACTTCAACACATCAATGGCATCCACCACAATTTTGCAAAAAAATTCTCTCAAAGCATCCTGGCTACAGTGCCATAGTAGAGTGAGAAGAGAACGGTCTACAAATGCTTGGCGAGTGTTACTTGAAAGTAGGTCCTCCTTCCTGAACATTTTGTATACACTTTCCAGAAGGCTGGATTGTGTGGCACATGAGCTCCTGAGAAAAAAAGAAAATTATATAAGCAGGTATGCTTTGAACAAATACTTAAGGAGTGCCTACTACACAATAAGCAAATTGCCAATGATTACAAATTAGAAAAAAACATTTAAAGATCATATATATTTTTAAAAAGTAATAAAAAGGCATTTGTACATAAATCATATAATTTTACTCATACCAAGAAATCTTCATGACAAATTTAGGCATTAGGAAAAAGAATTTTTTTCATTTCCTCTCAAATCTGGTCTTTGGAGAACATCTAAAAGAATTTGAGCCCTGCCCTGACTGGTTTGGCTCAGTGGATAGAGCGTCGGCCTGCGGACTGGAGGGTCCCGGGTTCGATTCCGGTCGGGGGCATGTACCTTGGTTGTGGGCACATCTCCGGTGTGGGGTGTGCGGGAGGCAGCTGATCGATGTTTCTCTCTCATCGATGTTTCTAGCTCTCTGTCCCTCTCCCTTCCTCTCTGTAAAAAATCAATAAAAATATTTTTTTTAAAAGAATTTGAGCCCTAACCGATGTTTCTATCTCTCTCTCTCCCTTCCTCTCTATAAAAAAAACCAATAAAATATATATTTTTTAAAAAATTTGAGAAAGTCTAGACCTAAAGATGATCACATTTACAGAATCTAAAACTCATGAATTATGATTTTAAAATTCTAGTCTCTTCCTCGTAATGAAATACCATTCCTATTTGCTATATAGAGATATATTTAGCTGGCCCTTTATTTTCTAATGTTGGAAATCAGATATTTGAATGATCTCCTATAAGGATTTATCTATAAATCTATAAAATTAAGACTACAGAGTTAGTTTCTTCACCTATAAAAATAAGAGGTTAGGAGTAAACAAACATTACAATCCTTTCCAATCCTAAAATCCCAATGCTCAGAAGTTAGATATAAATCAGAGCAAAAATATTAGATTCAGAAGGCAATTCAATCATAAAATTTTAAGGTTGCAGGACACTACTAGTTGCAACATGGGATTTTGTTATATTCATTTGGTCACTGTCTTAGACTTAAATTCTCTTGAGGCTCTTCCTATATTCAGCACAGTAGAAATGAACAGCCCTAAAACATCCAAATCATACAAATAAAAAATTTGATTTAAAAAATGGGCCAACAGATTATTTACTGAAATGTAAAGGCAAATGAACATTAAATATATGAGTATATGCTCTATTCACACATAAGAAAATTAACTCAAATTAGAGCAAAATTGAGAGTTTTTCTAAAATAAAAAATTGGGAAAAAATATAAATATTTGACAATATACTCTATTGTCAAAACTGTGATAAAATAAGCATTCTCATACATTGCTGTAGGGAATACAAATATAGCCCCAAAAGAAGGTATGTGGTAACGTCTAGCAAAATTACAGATGCATTTAACTTCTATGTTAGGATTCCATTCCAAAGAATTATTGGCAAAATACAAAATGACATATACACAGGGTGATTCGGTGTCATTTAAAATTTTTTCAATTAGTTTACATTCAATATTATTTTATTGGCTTCATATGTACAGCATAAAATTCATTAAACAATCAAATACTTTACAGTGGGGTCCATCAATATTTCAGGTACCCACATGGCACTGTACATAGTGATTACAATATTAATGAGTATATTCCCTATGCTATACTTAACATCCCAGGAAAATAAGAACTACTTACTTGTAGTTCTTTTTTTTTTTAATAATAAATCTTTATTGTTCAGATTGTTACAGTTGTTCCCCCCCACCTGGTTTCCACCCAACCCCATGTCCTTACCACCCCCCCTACTGTCCTCGTCCATAGGTGTATGATTTTTGTCCAGTCTCTTCCCTCACCCCCCACACCCCTTTCCCCCTGAGAACTGTCAGTCCACTCCCTTTCTATGCCCCTGATTCTATTATATTCACCAGTTTATTCTGTAAATCAGATTTTTTATTCACTTGATTTTTTGATTCACTTGTTGATAGATATGTGTTTGTTGTCACTTTGTTGTTCATAATTTTTATCTTTACCTTTTTCTTCTTCTTCCCCTTCTTAAAGAATACCCTTCAGCATTTCATATAATACTGGTTTGGTACTCCTTTAGCTTCTTCTTATCTGTGAAGCTTTGCTGGGTAGAGTAATCTTGGTTGTAGGTCTTTGCTATTCATCACTTTGAGTATTTCTTGCCATTCCCTTCTGGCCTGCATGGTTTCTGTTGAGAAATCAGCTGACAGTCGTATGGGTACTCCCTTGTAGGTAATTAACTGTTTTTCTCTTGATGCTTTTAAGATTCTCTCTTTGTCTTTTGCCCTTAACATTTTAATTATGATGTGTCTTGGTGTGGTCCTCTATGGATTCCTCTTGTTTGGGATTCTCTGCGCTTCCTGGACTTGTAAGTCTATTTCTTTCAACAGGTAGGGGAAGTTTTCTGTCATTATTTCTTCAAATAGGTTTTCAATATCTTGCTCTCTCTCTTCTTCTGGCACCCCCATAATTCAGATGTTGGTATGCTTGAAGTTGTCCCAGAGGCTCCTTACACTATCTTCATATTTTGGATTCTTTTTGCTTTTTCCATTTGGGTGTTTTTTGCTTCTTTGTATTTCAAATCTTTGACTTGATTCTTGGGGGTCTCTAGTCTGCTGTTGGATCTCTGTATATTATTCTTTATTTCAGTAAGTGTATGCTTAATTTCTAATTGGTCCTTTTTCATATCCTTAAGGGTCTCACTAAATTTCTCGGAGGTTTCTAGAAGATTCTTGAGTAACCTTATAACCGTGGTTTTGAACTCTATATCCAATAGTTTGCTTTCCTCCATTTCTTTCATTTGTGACATGTTTCTTTGTCTCCGTATTTTGGCTGCTTCCTTGTGTTGATAGAGTGGCTTTGTGTGCTAGGTGTCCTATAGGGCCCAGTGGCTCAGCCTCCCTAATTACCTGAGGTGGACACTCTTGGTTCACCCCTTTGTGGGCTGTGTGCACAGTCTTGTTGTAGTTTAGTCTTTGATTGCTGTTGGTATCACTGGAAGGAATTGACCACCAGGCCAATTGGCTGTGAGGACCATCTGTGTTTACAATGGGAGAACTGCTTTGCTGGAGACACCCTTATGGAGCAGGACTTGCTTCAGTGGGGCTTTGGTGCTCACTGAGTCTGCCCCTTGAGTGTGTCGCTTATGGATGTGAAGAGTTGTACTCTGATATGGTCTCACTCTGACCACTGGGTACACTGGCTCTTGGATCTCCAAGGAGGTGAAAAGTCAGCCACTGCCTGAGACCACCCAGCAGGAGCTACAGAGAGATCTGCAGATTCCTCCTCTTTGTTTGGGGTTTGGAAATGCCCAGATAAGGCCCAGCTGTGAAGCAATGCAGGCTGCTGTCTAGGGCTTCTTTTGGAAGCTTTGGCACTCTTTGACCCAGCTGCAGTTTGTTAGGTTTTAGATTGCAAAAGAACAGGCCATTCATATGCAAAAGCCTCTGCTCACAGCTTGGGTGGGGTTGTAAATTGGGTGGGGCGGGGTCTCAGGGAATCATCAGAGCAGAGCAAACCACAATAGCTACCAGTCTGCTCTGTCTCAGAGAGGACCCGGGGTCTCTGTGTCCTGTGGCCCCGTGCAGGAACAATAATCGCTGCAAGCACCTCTGCGAGAAAGCCACCCTCGTGTTCCGGCCCAATGCCAAACAGTCCAGTTTCTTCCTGTATGAGTCTGGGTCCCCAGAGTCTCGCCTGGAACTGGATTTCAGAGCAATTGGGAGGTGTATCTCCCTCCCAATTAAAAAAGACAACAGCGTGCCCAGTTGCCAGCCCATTTCCATGCGTGCCTCTGTACCTCTGCACTTCCGCACCTCTGCACCTCCTTCCAGTTTCAATGTGCTTTTCTCTTTCTTTCTAGTTGTAGAATTTCCACTCAGCCAGCCTTCCCATGGTTCTGGATGATATCCGTTTTGTCGTTTAGTTGTAGTTTTGATGTGGTTGTGCGAGGCAGCAAGTACAAGTGTGTACCTATGCCGCCATCTTGGTTCCTCTCCCCTACTGTAGTTAATCCCTATACCTCTTCATGCAGTCCTCCAAACCCCCACACTCTGTGGCAAAGATCAGTCTGTTTCCTGTATATCTATAAGTCCGTTTCAATTTTGTTAGCTTATTTTGCTCTTTAGATTCCACATATAAGTGAAATCACATGGTATTGGTCTTTATCTGTCTAACTTATTTCACTTACTATAATACCTTCCAGGTCCATCCATGTTGTTGCAAATGGTAATATTTCATTTTTTATGGCTCAGTAATATTTCACTGATAGTCTATTGATAGGCACTTGGGTTGTGTCTATATCATGGCTAATGTAAATAATGCTGCTATGAACATAGGGGTGTATATATGCTATGAACATAAGGATGTGTATATTCTTTCAAATTAATGTTTTTGGTTTCTTCAGATATATACACAAAAGTGGAATTGCTGGGTCCTAAGGCAGTTCCATTTTTAAATTTTGATGAACTTCCACACTGTTGTCCATAATGGCTGCACAAATTTGCATTCCTACCAAAAATGCATGAGGGTTTGCTTTTCTCCACATACTTGCTAACACTTGTTTGTTGATTTATTGATTATAGCAATTCTGACAGGTGTAAAGTGAAATCTCACTGTGGAGTGAATTTGCATTTTTTTTATTATTAGTGACATTCAGCATGTTTTCATGTCTATTGGCCATCTGTATGTCCTCTTTGGAGAAATGTCTATTCGTGTCCTCTGCCCATTTTTAAATTAGACTGTTTTGGGGGTTTTTTGGAGTTCAGTTGTATGCATTCTTTATAAAATTTAGATACTAACTTCTTATGAGATGCATCATTGGTGAGTCTCTTCTGCCATTCAGTAGGTTGTCATCTTGTTTTGTTGATGGTTTCCTTTGCTGTGCAAAAACTTTTTAGTTTGATGGAGTCCCAGTTGTTTATGGTTTCCTTATTACCATTATTTTGACCTCTGTATCTAGTAGTTCAGTTCTTTTTCTGAAGATTTGTCCTATTCTTTCATTAGATACAAATTTCTATCTCTTCATTTTGAGTTGAGTCCATGACTATTTCTATTTTTTGGTAGTTCTGCTATGTCTCCCAGTCTTGACAAAGTGGCCTTATGGAGAAAATGTCTTGTGAGGCCAAGTAGTGCATTCTCCCTGGTCACCTGCCAGGTGCTCTAGGGGTGTCTGCTATGTGGGTTTGTTTCCTCCTGTTGTAGTTGAGCCTCAATTGCCGCTGGCACATCAGTAAGTTGGGTTGAACCTCAGGGTGACCACGTTCAGGGCTGGTTGTAACTAGAGCAGATGAGCAGTTGTTTGGAGACTGACCCGACAGAATAGCAATGGCTTTAGCCGTGCTCTGGTGCCATCAAGTCTGCCTTTCGGGTATGTCATTGGTAAAGCTGGTTGGGTGGTGCCCTGGTGTGGTCTGAAGAGGGCCACTGCATGTGCTCATTCTAGAGCCTCTTGGGAGGTGCTTCAGTGCAGGTCAAGGTCACCCACTGCTGGAGCCTTTTGGTAGGAGCTACAGAGTCATCTGCAGTTGGTTGCTGCTCTTCCTTGTCTTGGAGGTGCCTGTGGAGGCTACTCAGGCAACCCAGATCGCTGCCGCTTGTGCTGGGCTTGGGCCCTTTTGATGGGCACCATGATGTGAGTGGAGGCCAGCTGCCACTTGTGCCAGGATTGTGGCTGCTTTGTTGAAGCTTCGTTCCTGACTCAGACTGGCTGTTGGCTTATGCCAGGGTTGGGGCCACGTGATGGGAGTTACAATGCAAACTGAGGGCGACTGCTCCTTGCGCTGGGCTTTGGCTGCTTAGCGAGTTACAATGCCAGTGGATGCCTGTTTGGGTTTTTCGACCGTGAGATTTAGGGGAAGTGTGCAGAGCTAAGGCAGGGCACTTGTGTGCTTGTGTGAAGGAGACGGTGGAAAAGGCTCAGGCCAGGCGAACAATATGGGCTGGGCAGGGTGTCAGGAAGTCACCGGGGCAGGGTGAACAGTGTTAGCAAGGTTAATGGAGAGCTGAGATTTAGTGCCTGCCTGTACCAGCACAGCTGGGTGGGAGGATAGCTCTCCAAAGAAACAATGGCGCCAATGCTTTTGTCCCCAGAGAGAACTGCTCTTACCCCTCCCCCTCCAGCCCTCACCCTGAAGTTAGTTTATTTAGTACCTCCCGAAATACTCCCACCACTCTGCATGGTCTCCTTGAGACCTACGTCTTAGCCTCCCACAAGTCCTTAGTCTTTCTTGAATGCAATCCCACTGGTTTTCACAGCCAGATATTATGGGGACTCCTCAGCAATGACACCCTGGGTTGGAGAACTGTGTGTGGGGCTGGAACCCCCACTCAGGGGGACCTCCTCAGCAGAAATACCCCTCCTGTTTCTTAACCATCACACCATAGGTGTGGGACCTGCCCATTTCATATCTCCCTCCCACCTACCAGTCTCAACATGGCTTCTTCTTTATATCCTTAGTAACAGAAATTCTGTTTAGTCTTCAGGTGGTTCTCAGTGATGACTGTTTCATTTCAAAGAACAATTATTAGTTTCATTATTTTTCTTCACCATTTCTCTGATTTCAATTTCATTAATTTTCACTCTAATCTTTTTTTAAAAAATATATTTTGATTTTTTACAGAGAGGAAGGGAGAGGGATAGAGAGTCAGAAACATCAATGAGAGAGAAACATCGACCAGCTGCCTCCTGCACACCCCCTACTGGGGATGTGCCCGCAACCAAGGTACATGCCCTTGACTGGAATCGAACCCAGGACCCTTCAGTCCGCAGGCTGACGCTCTATCCACTGAGCCAAACCGGTCAGGGCCACTCTAATCTTTATTATTCTTTTCCTTCAATATGCCTTCATTTTAAGTTTTATTTTTAGATTTTAATGTGAAAGTTTAGTTTGTGAATTCAGGATCTTTCTTATTTTTTCATATAGGCATTAATAGACATAAATTCTCCTTTAAGCCCTGCTTTTGCTGCATTGCAGATATTTGGATATGCTTTATCTATTCAGATCAAAATGTGATTTGATTTCCCTTATTTCTTTTTTGATGCAAGGGTTATTTAGAAATGCCATTTAATTTTTTTTAAAGCCAATAAAAAGAAATAAGTTACTAATTCATGCTACATCATGGATGAATCTCAAAAACGTGCTGAATAAAGAACCCAGGCATAAGAGGGGTGATGAAGCTGGGAAATGCTGATGCTTGTTTAATCTGAAGAATCATTCATAGTTTTACTTTCAACTCTGAGTATGTTTGAAATTGTCAAGATAAAAATCTTTTTATTTCTTACGAAAAACAAAATAAAATTTAGTTGTAAGAGTTGAGTGTAACTGTCACTCAACTTTTTTTTGAAACAGAGAAAATAAATTTTCCTCAGAAACATAATGTATATGGTTCCTGGCATCCCAGACTATAATAGAATGACTTACTTTCTGGCAATCTTTTTGAAAGTGGATTGAAATAAATCTTCCATAATGTGTTGTTGTTCTCGACAAAGAAGTTCTGTCATCAACTGCAATAATGTAGGACTTTGAGATAATTCCAATGCATCTAAAAACTGCAACAACAAAAAAAGTCAAAATACATAACAATAATGATAATAATAATTTTGTTGGATTTTCATTTTTGTTTTGTATTTAACAGTTCTAATAAAATATAGAGAGATTATAACAGAATTTCACAGAGAATTAAGAAATACTTCCTGGCCAGCATGGCTCTGTAGTGAACATACACCTACACCAGGAGGTCAGGTTCAATTCCCAGTTAGAGCACATGTCCGGGTTGTGGGCTCAATCTTCAATGTGGGGCGTGCAGGAGGCAGCCAGTCTCATTCATTACTGATCGATCTCCCCCCCCTCTCTCTCTCTCTCTCTCTCTCTCTCTCCCCCCTCTTCCTCTCTGAAATAAATTTAAAAAATATTTTTTAAAAAGTGGATAGAGCGTCAGCCTGTGGACTGAAGGGTCCCAGGTTCGATTCCGGCCAAGGGCACATGCCTGGGTTGCAGGCTCAATCCCCAGTAGGGGGTGTGCAGAAGGCAGCCTATCAATGATTCTCTCTCATCATTGATGTTTCTATCTCTCTCTCCTTCTCCCTTCCTCTCTGAAATCAATAAAGAAATATATATTTTTAAAAAAAGAAACACTAATATTTTAGTCATTTTTGCAGATATAATAAATGTTACACATAAAATAATTTTGTTAAATGTTTGAGTTTTGATTTTGGGGGTTTTGCAGACATTTTTCCCTCTAACAACTTTTAGGATTTTCTCTTTATCCTCAGGTTCTAAAATTCCATAACCATGGGCCTTCACTGAGGTTATTTCCCTTCACCATTCTAGGTACTCTGTGGTGTGAAGTCTTTTATTCTGGAGATGTTTGTCTTTCAACACCATCGTACGTTTACAGATGTCTAGGCTGCTCATATAACATTCTGCTCTTTACTCTCCCAACTTCCATCTCAATGTCTATTTGTTCTTCTTTCTAAGGGATATACTCGATTTTACCTTGTGTTCAATAGAGAACCGAGGCAGTCACCACCTTAACCAGGCCACAAGACTTGAGGCAACTAACAATGGGACAGTGACACGATTGGCCTCCTGATGTGCTGCTGTTGCCAAAACGATTAGCCTGAATCTCATGACCAATCTTTAGGCCTCACTCCAGTTTAGAGGAAATGCAGAGGATTAGGGACAAGTTAAACAATAAAACAAAGATGGGCCAACAGCCAAAAGTAGTACTCTGGTTTCTTCCAAAAATTCAATGTCATAAAAAATTTACAAAATGGGGTGAAGTAGTTCTAGATTAAATGATATGAGAGACATGACAATTCAATGCAATCATTAATTAAATCCCGGTTTGAAAAAACACAGCTCAACATGGGGCATCTAAAGAAATGTGAATATGGACTACATTACACATGATATTAGAGGAGCGTGAATTTGCTTAGGTATGATAACAGTATTGTGGCTTATTCATAGGACATGCATGCTGAAGTATTTAGGAATGAAGTATCATGATGTCTGAAACCAACTTGCAAATGTTTCAGCCAAAACACACACATACACACACACACACACACACTCTCTCTCTCTCTCTCTCTCTCTCTCTCTCTCTCTCTCTCTCTCTCTCTCTCTCTCTCTCTCTCACAACAAAACAAAGCAAATATGACAGAATGCTAACTATTCAATATAGAAGATGGTAATATGAATGGCTTGTTTCACTATTCTTTCCATTTTTCTGTATGCTTGGAAAACAGTATATAAAAAGAATGGGGAAGAGAGAATCTATGTGGATGGTGGTATTTGTACACTGGTCTTTCCATGAGGCTATCTGGCTTCCTTACACAATGGAGACTGGGTCCCACAGAGAAGGGCCCCAGGAAGTAATGTTGGAAGTCACACAGCATTACTTCCACTGCATTCTTTTGTTGAGTCTTTAAGGCCAACCCATCCACAATGGGAGGAAACTCAGACTTTGCCTTTCAATGGAAAAGCCACATAAAATATTTCACAATTTAAAATGAGGGAAGAAAGTGAATTCCAAAGGATTTAGATATGCATCTGCCTCCAGTTACCCAGCTTTCAAAATGAATTAAATTGGATTCTTAAAGTTAGAACACTTTTCTAATTCTGAATATTTCTCTTACTTTTCTTCATCACAAATGTAATAGAAAAAAACACAAATAAAAATTAATGTTTTCATTTTACTTGGTGCTACTAAAAACTAACCTTTTTCATGAAGTCCACATAATTATTGTACTGCAGAGTTCCTGGGGCAAATTCTTCAGACTTCATAGGGAAATTAGAAATGATGATCTTTTCAAGAACATGCTTAAGGTTCTCAAGACTGCCTCCAGTAAGATTGGTGAAGAATGGAAGAAGAATTATAGCTTGACCCTGTGGAGCAATGCAGATACGAAATTGCACTAGTCGTGGCTTACAGATTCTACAGAATAAATAAATTACTGCTTCTAAAGAGTTTGCAAATAAAATGTTATATAGATTCAAAAAAAGACTTCAGAATACCTTCTAGATTACAGAAAAAAACAATCTGAACGCAATGCTGTATCATGGCTTCTACTCTAGAGGGAAGTGAGCCAACTCAGGGCTATATACATGCAAATAAAAAGGACATTGTATGATGATTCTATATGTCATTTCTCCTAAAAATATACTAGATAAATTTTTAGTGGAACGAACATCTTGAATAACCTATGGGGTAATTTACAAATATTCCTTGCAGAACTCACTCCTTGCAGAACTCACTCCAAACTTCATACCAAGCTTCAAAGAAACTAGGATGTGTTTCCTACATCCCTTGTATGAAGGTAAGTTCGCAGACTCTCTCCTACTGAGAAATGAGAAACTTGATTAATCACATAGACGGGAATATTCCAAGGAAATCTTCATGATCCAGTAAAAAAAAACAAAACTGATTTTCAAGAAGGAAAAAAAAAAGATGGTTTTCATTAAGGCCACATTTTATTAGAGTGTAAAATGTAATTATTAAAGAACTTTAAAATTAAAATATGTTCTTGACACTAAAAATTACCAAGATATTTTATATTACTTAACACATTGCGGACCAGTAGTTTTATTGCTAGCTTACTCAGTGGCCAGATAAGCTTCTATTGAACAAATACAAAAAACATTTTACATAAATGTTAAAGGCATGCTTTAAAATTAAATACCCATTGCATTTTGAAGTTATTTATCACATGTTCTTACAAGCTAAAATCTTTTTAAAGAATTCCCGTGATTGGCCACAAGCCTTAGAACAAAAAACAAGAATTCTCGTGATCCATCCGCAATGTATTAATAGAAAAATGATTAACGATAAATTCTGTCATTCATTAATTAATACAGCAATTCTCAGAAAAGCCCATTTGAATCATCTATATGCAAAGACAAATGTTAATCCTTCTAAGTATGGTAATTTTTTTCTGGTTAAACTTATCTTTTTGGAGATCAGATAACATGACGCCAGGGGGTTCCTTCAAGGTGATGGGCAGGAGTGACTGCAGTTGAAACAAGCAGCCCACAGACAGATGGCTAATGAGGTTGGATAATAAGTACATGGGGGCTTACTGTGCTAGCCTCCTGGCTTTTGAATGTTTAAAATTTTTTCATTATAAAACGTAGTAAACATAAATAAGCACAAATGGAAAAATAATGAAGAATGTAATCTGAAAAAACATCTTTTTACTACTTACTTTTAAAATTTTTTATTGTTGAAAGTATTACATATATCCCTTTTTCCCCCTTTACTATTTACCTTTAAATGTAGACCCAACTTCGAATCAGCAAGTATACTAGTGTATGTTGTAAAGACTTCAGGGAATGCACTGTGACTTGTATTAAAAGACACCGATGAATCAATCTAAAGGAGAGGAAATAAAAACATGATACATTACTATATCATGTCTCCAATTTCCTTAACACAGTTTTTAAATGTTTTAATTTCAGAAATGACCTATAAATTTGTTCCTGGGCTTCAATAATATGTCAGCAATTCTTGTTCTAAAATACTTTAAAACTATCTGATAAGACAATGCATGGAAAGGTACACTAAAAACATAAAGTATAAGAAATGATAATGAAGTAAAATAATAGAAGTGTAATGAGTAAGATATTTATCAATTGTCCAGTTAAAACACTTTTTATTTATCAAACCTCCATCACATTTTTAAAAATACAAACTGGAGTCCAAAACAACGAACACAACTGTATTTTTAAGGTCTCTCAAAATACCTGCAGAATTTTTGCCAGCAAGGTCAGCACTGCCATTTTACTTTCAGGAGCAGAGTCTTTGGCCCACCACAAATCACACTTCTTCCAGTTTTGCAGAATTACAGTCACAAGTTTCAGTCCTTGGTCTTTCTGACTGGCCCGATCCCTGAAGCTCTGGTCTAACATCCCATTCAAAACGGTGCTCACCTAAAACAATTGTGTGGTGATTGAAGACAAATTCTTAACATTAAGACCGACATGTACAACAAAATTTACTTTCATTTCAAAGCTATTCTGGGGAAATAAAGATGTTAATTTTATAATAGTTGTTCACTTCACAACTCTTCAAATTTGAGAACAGGGCTTTAACATATAAATTTTCCCATAAAAGTATACGGTGTCTCATTTACGAAATCATGTTCACACTGCTATTTCCTATTTCTTAGTTAGGGGCATTCTCGATGGGCAGAGGAGTAGCTTTCTTCTGTCACCATCACCACCACACGTGCACGTGCATGTGTACACTCCCATCCACACTCCTGCACATGAGTACACATGCACACAGGATTGCATGCACACATTTCCTTTCCCATCACCTTTTCAACAGTGTTTTCTATTTGGCTGGAAAAATATCCACTATTTCTATCATTATGACAATGTAAACATTTTCACAAATGATCCAAGTCATATACTACCAATACTTTTCCTTTCTTGCACATTTTGATGTCACTGAAGTTAATACTTGTTTACTTTCTTTGCTGTTTTCCATGTGCCTACCATTATTCGTCATCAAATTCTCTCAATTTAATCTCCACAAGATAGTTAAACGTATCAAGAAGTCCATCAGTTCCACCTCTGGGGAGCCAGCGCTCACTCTGGAAATGCTGGTGACCACTGCCCTCTGGGTCTCACTAGGAGACCCTCTGCGAGGCCCGTGAACTTCCCTGATCCAGCATCATCCTCTTTCTTGGCTGACTGCCTTGCTTAGTGAAGTCCTCTCCAGCAGCCCCTGAGAGAAGTGCACAGAAAATACTTTCCTTTGAGAAACGGCACACCTGAGACGTGCACTTGACCTTCACACATAACTGACCATCCGGCGGATTCAGAACTCCATGTTGGAAATCTTCTTTCCTGAACTGTGAGGGAAATTTGGCACAGTCTTCCAGCGTCCACTTTGCTGCTACAGAGATAAAAGCAACCCAATTTCCTGATCCTTTTAATGTAATCAGGCTTTCTCCCATCGTCGCTTGTCGGGATCGTTCCTAACAGTGAAACCCCAGGTGCTGAACTTCCAGAAATACACACCTGTTCTCACACACCGTGCTGGACACTCAATGGCCTTCTTCCGTCTGGACACTCAAGGTCTTCATTTCTGGGAAATTCTCCTCAGCTGTGCAAGTCTGTCTTCCCTCTGAGGCAGAGGCCCTGCTACTAGACCTTGTACTTGATCCCAAGTTTCCTCATCTTTCTCTCCTGTTTTGTTTTGTCTTTTTTCCTCTACTCTTTGTGAGAGTCCCTGAATTTTATCTTCCAGTCCCATTTTATTTTTAATTTCTGATGCTTATGCTTAATTCTCCCCAATTTCGTTTGTTCTCAGATGTTTCTTTTCAGCAGCAAGTCTTGTTCCATGGATACACTATCTTCTCTCATCTTTCTGACTTTTTTTTTTTCTTTTTACATTTCCATCTCACTGAATAGTCTCTGCTTCAAGTGTCTTGTTCCTTGCCTGTCCCTTTTAGAATCCCCTTCCTCGGGCTTGGTATTATTTTGCTGTTGGTACACGTCAAGGGGCTGATCAGAAACACTATCCAGTGGGCAGGGCTTACTGGCCAGGATGGTCACTGGAAACTGATCTGGCTGGGCAGTGAGTATATATAGCAGCTTTGTTTTCTCTTAGTCTTGTTAAAATATTCTGATATCCTGCCTGAGAGCATAGTCCTAGAAGACTGTATTCTGGAAGCCAAACTGGGGGAAACACCTCAGCCCTAAAGACCAGAACCGGACCCCTTTCTGAGTTCTGCAGCACAACTGGCTGCCCATCTTCACACTGCTATGGTCGGTCACACTGCAGCTTTCTTGGACTCCGAAGTCTGTTAACGACAACTTGTGCTTTTGCCTTCCAGCCTCCAAAGTGTTGTCACTCTTGTCCTTTTTCCTTTCCTCTGTGTCCTTTAACATTGTACTTTTTTTTTTAACCCTGTTCCTGTCATTTTAGAAGTATTTGAGGTGGAGGTAAAGGCATATGATTTTTATCCATCATCATCAACAGAAGTCTGAATAGTTTAAAAGCTCAAATTGTTATATCTTCTGAGTCTACAATATTTTTATTTCTAACTTTAAAAAATACAAATCCCTAGTGCAATCTATCACAAAATATTCCCCTAAAATAGATAATAAGCACTGTTTGGAATAAAAGCTTAACTCAGTAGGGAATTATACACTCTCCCCTTAAAAGGGTCATTCTACAGGTGAACAGTTTCTGATTGTCTGCAGACCAGGTTAAATTTTAAAATGTTATAAGTTTAGCAAACTAGAGTCAACTGAATATGAAGTACTGATCTCCAAAGGTTCAATGCGAGGGGACATGTGGGCTACAGCAGGAACGTGCAGGAAATGATCCCGGAACGAACAGGACCAGCGAGGGGCTGGAGGAGAAACAAAGGCAGGCTTGGCCTCAGGACAGGCTTATGAGCTCCAATGCCAAAGCCTGACAAAAAGTCATTATCTACATAGCTGTGCCTTACAAAATTAGGCCTAGAGAGATTAGGGGCAAAAATCAATGTTTCAACAACCATTATTAACTATTCATTAAGGTGCTGTTGTTTTTTTCCCTTTGGTTTTGTTGTTAAGCATTGGCAAGAGATTTAAACCTTCCAGGAAGAAATCTTGTTTTGTTTTAGTAATATATTTCAGGAATACAAACATTATATAAGAAAATAAACTTTACTTAAAGTAAAATCTCATTACCATTTTGGGATTATCTACAGATGATTTCATGAGCTCCAGTACGGCAAGATCTAGATTTTTCAACAATTCAGTGTTGACGGTGTCTGAGAACAAGCTGTAGAAATACTCTCCGTGGTAGAAGCTGACGATGTTCCTCTGGGACCCTCCTGAGGCCGGCATGGACAGCTCTGCTGTGTCCAGGAGAAGCCTCACCAGGCACTCACACTGAGAAGATGAGGGAAGGGCGGTAACAGCAACACACGTCTTAAATGTTACAGAAAGACTCCTTGGGTAGCTAATAACTTTGAAAGTGGAAAATCGCACAAGAGCCTGGTATTTAAAGGCCAGGGTTCAAATTTAAATTAGATACATTTCAATGAGTCTCCAATTTCTAAGTTTCAATTTGGGAAAGAGATCTTCCCTGACTCATGTTTCTCCCAAATTTCTACACATCTTACTGTTGCTTTGAGAGGAGAGTCTAGTAAAGGAGTCTTTTTAGACAAAGCATGTAATGTGTTTACATGAAGTAGACAAAGGAGCAGAGGCTTCTACTGCAGGAGAAAGACAGGCAGTGAGTGGATGCCCAGAACTGGCTGCAGGTCTGCTCTGCAGCAGAGGCTGAGGCCAGCCTGCAGGTTCAATAGAATGAAGACATTTTTGTGGTGACTCAGTTATCCTTCGGGGGCTCTCCCGAGTCAGCCCCTTGAAGAATTACCAAGGAGAGGGGAAGGAGGGGTCACTGTGCCAACACAGTTCAACTGTATATTCACAAAATGTTCTCTGCCTAAAGTCCTTCTGGGAACAAAGAGCGAGAGACAAAACCTTAATTTGCAAGAATGCTGTTCTATTTCTTTCATTTAAAAAAAAAACACCAGAAACCTTCTAGAAAGTCAGCTCATGTAAATTAATTCAAGTACTTGTGCAGCTAAGAACTTATCCAATAAATTACTGTTTTTAAAGACACAATGCATGTGAGTTACATAGTCACATTATTAGGAGAGCATAGCATGTGGCTGTTTTTCCTACCAATCCTCCAAAAGCAAAGGCCAACTCCAGAAGTCCACTGGCCAATCGCTTACAACTGGGGTCAAGTGAAGGGAGGCACTGTCGTTCGTGTCCAGGAGCGATGCTTTTATAAACCAGGGAAAGAAGCTTTGTGCCAATATAATGATGCTGATCTATAGACTAAAATAAAATCAACAATAAAGTATTAAAAACACACAATTTCACACCTTTTGTTAATTAAAAATTCCACGTTAGCTAACACTGACAACTGCCTTCCAACTGTGAGGAAATGTTTCACTCAACTGCTTTCTACGCTGTTTTTCACTGCCGCTGCCCAGCCACCAAGGCACAGTAGCAGTTAGTCCAGGGGTGGGCAAACTTTTTGACTCGAGGGCCACAATGGGTTCTTAAACTGGACCGGAGGGCCGGAACAAAAGCATGGATGGAGTGTTTGTGTGAACTAATATAAATTCAAAGTAAACATCATTACATAAAAGGGTACGGTCTTTTTTTTTTTTAGTTTTATTCATTTCAAACGGGCCAGATCCGGCCCGAGGGCCGTAGTTTGCCCACGGCTGAGTTAGTCCCCAAAGTTCTTCAGAAGGCGGCTGGAAGTACTCAAATAGACTTTGTTCTATTTTCATTTGACATTGATTAATGTTTATATTTACTTTTATATTTATATTCCTGGTAACACCTACATGTCTAGAAGCAAGTATTTCTATAATTCCCATTTCAGCACCCATAAAGGATGTTCAAAAAAGAATATAAATAAATCGACTAGTTAGCTCATTGAAGCTACGAAACATGTAAAAACAAAATGTGGTTACCTGAGATGGCAATACATCATGCAAAACCCCAGCTCGATGAAGATGTTTACAAGCTGACACGAAAGAAGACAACTTGGCCCTGTCCACGTAAGCATCAGGGCCATACAGGTCAATGCCACAGAGCTCCTCAAAGCTGGCCACAGGAGAAAAGCAAAAAGAAAACGGCGTGAGTGCCGATCTCATTAAATTATGAGGATATACTGAAAAATGTGTGCATTCTGTTATGAATGTATTACTAACTAAATACCCAGCACTCAAATAGCTTACGCAGCCCTGGAAAACAAACATGGCTAACACAAACCCAGGGGCCCGTGCACTAAGCCAGCCACGGAAATCAGCAAAGGCTAAGCCACATGCAAGGCTTGCGTTCAAGGGGCAAGGAAGGCATTTGCTAAACAGATGATTTTCAAACAACTGATGCGATCCTCTGCACCCAACACCCCATTGATGAAGTCCTCCACAACCCTGACCCTGAGCATGACCCGAATGCCCACACGGCTCCCCAGCACGTGCAACCTTAAACTCCAAACCCCTGACCCTGAGCATGACCCGAATGCCCACCTCTGTGCTGTTATTTTTTCCTTGAGGTTCCTCTCTAGAATGTCTTTGTATGGAGACTTCTTCAGTGCTTTCATCAGGTTCACACAAACATCAGGAAGGTGATTCATAATGTGGACATCACTGATATTGAAACCTATGCTCGAGGGCTCACATAAGGTTTTCACCAAGAGTTCCATAAGGTTTGTGTTACATAAATACTTTTCAAGAAGCTGTAAAAGACAGATTTGAATAAGAACACATCTATTAGTCAGAATTAGATTTTCACTATAGTGTAAGGTCCATGAAGTTGGGAAATTTTGCCTGGATAGGACAAGGGTTAGCAAACTTTGTCTATAAAGCGTTGAACAATAAATGTGTTTAGCTTTATGGCCCATACAGTCTCTGCTGCAGCTACTTAAATACTATTCTAGTGGGAAAGCCGCCATGAACAATATGTGAACAAATGAACCTGGATGTGTTCCAATAAAACCTTCTTTGTAAAAAATTTTCATTTGACTTGAGAGAGAGAGAGAGAGAGAGAGGGGGGAGGGGAGAGAGAGAGAGGGAGAGAGAGAGAGAGAGAAATCAATTTTTGTTCCACTTATTCATGCATTCATTGGTACTTCCCGTATGTGCCCTGACCAGGGACTGAACTCGCAACCTTGGCATATTGGATGATGCTCTAATCAATTGAGCTACCTGGCCAGGGTTAAAGCCTTCTTTACAAGAGCAGGTAGCAGGTGGTATCTGGCCTAGGGCCCATAGTTTCCCAGCCCCTGGGTCAGGTCAATGCTGTATCCGCAGGACAGAACCTGGCATACAGTAGGCACTTAGTATATATTAATTAGATGAATTGACTGGAATTTGTTTATATAATAAGCCTGACAGATACACTTATAAATATTTGCTAATTCATGTTTCCTAAGGTAGACATTTGATTGTAGTATGAAAATGCAGTCCTATATAATAAAAGGCTAATGTGCAAATTGTCCCCTTATAAGTTCGACAGCTCGCTATGATGTGCGCTGACTACCAGAAGGAGGAGTGGAACAAAGGAAGGCCCCAGCCAGCAGCCGGCAGCCGGCAGCCAGGGGAAGGAAGGCCCCAATGGGCCCTAATCACCAGCCAGGCCTAGGGACCCTACCGTGCACAAATTTCATGCACCGGGCCCCTAGTATCTAATAAAAATTCAGAAAAACTTTTGTATTTTATTCACACAATGAGCATCTGAAGTACGTGCAGTTTTATTATTCTCAAAAATAGGTAACTCCTACAGCAATGAAAAGTTCTAAGACAGCCCAAACCACTTCTAATAGGCACTTTATACGTATTTTTCCAGTGCCAAGCATTGTCCTCAAATAGAGCAGCAGGAGTGGCCCTACCTTCCAGCCTTCTGGGTAGAGTCTGAGCAGTGTTGTGGTAAATTCCATAATCCGAACGACAATTGTGCATTTGCTGTAATTATATCTTTCTTCCTCTTGTGGGCTGAGTCTGTTATCTGTTATCCCAGGGCCAAAGCTCTTTGTAGCTGCCATGGTATCATGCATAGCAATGCTTTCTAAAAAGAACGTCACCGCTTTCCAAAGTGAAGACTGTGTTTCAGTACCTAGAAAAAATTGCATTAAAATATCAACATTTGTTTTCTCTAACTCCAATGAGATTAATGTGAAACCTCTTCTTTAAATATAGTCACGATGAGTCAAAATTCAAATGTAAAAGAAGACGTTCAAAAAAGTTGAATAAAATGGCACTATTTCTTCTCATTTCAGAATTTCAGAATTAAGACCACCCAAACAGAAATTCAACTTTAAACTCAGAGTAAGAACACATCTACTGAAGATTAGGTCTTGCTTTTCAAACACTAGCTGTGGGAGTATAAATTAATATGATCTTTTTAAAGGGCAATTTGGCAAATCATACCAAAAGCTTTAAAAAAGTGTGTATGCCAATTTCTGTTAAATGTTGAGAGACTCATACGATTTGATCCAGCACTGAAATTTCATTCTACTGAAATAGTTGCAAGATATGTTTATAGGGATGTTCATTTTAGCACTGTTCTTAATAATAGAAAATAGAAACAACCTAAATGTCCTTCAAAGGGTTGACAGAGAGACCAATTATGGCAGTCATCTTCAAACAAGTATATCATAAAATCAATTTCATATCAACCAAATGAACTTTTCCACAAAACTCATCTATCTGAAAATACTCATCTCCACCCCTTTCACAGTTGCCTTTCTCCTGCATAACAAAAGAAACACAGTCCTAGCCGGTTGCTCAGTGGTTAGAGCGTCGGCCCGTGGACTGAAGGGTCTCAGGTTCGATTCCAGTGAAAGGCATGAACCTCGGTTGCAGGCTCGATCCCCAGCGCTAGTCGGGGCACATGCAGGAGGCAACCAATGTCGCTCTCACATCGATGTTTCTCTCTCTGTCTCTCCCCCTCCCTGTCACTCTCTCTAAAAATCAATGGAAAAAATAACCTTGGGTGAGAATAAAAAAAAGGAAGGGAGGAAGGAAGGAAGGAAGGAAGGGAGGGAGGGTGGGGGGGAGAGGGAGGGAGGGAGGGAGGGAGGAAGAAAGATACACTTTTCTCCTCTTCTCAAATTAACTGTAGACCTTTGAAGTCCCAAAAAGACAATTTAAAATAGTGATACATGTGTTGAAAAAATAAGTAAAGGTAATGACTGAATAACAAATCCTTTTATAAGTCTAATGGTGTCCAATTCTTGTTTTCATTAAATTTAAGGAAAATAAATTATACTGTCAAATCATTAAAAAATCATTTTGATGACAGGTCACTATATATTCAAAGAAGTGAGAGAAAATACATTAAGAATTACATTCTCAAATACCAACTATTCTTGACTACACAGACTATGAGTTATGACACATCCCAACCACAGATATGTTAAATGTGGGAACAAAGTCTATTTTAGAATTATTCAAAAATGGCACTTGTTTATTGTGAACAAGTTGTTTTAGTACTAAAATCTAAACGAACAAAAAATATTATAACCATACAATCTTACTTTTTATATATAATAATTATAAAAATGTTTATTATGATTATGTTGTGGTGGTAATGAGTGTAATGTGCCCTAATAACCAATGTAATGATAACACAGAAGAAACCTTTATATAAACACACCCTTTGTTTCAAAGACATAGGTAGAATTATACATAAAAATATAAGCATAAAAGCATAATACTTTAAGATTAAAAAATGTAAGGAGAATGGAGGAGTAATAATAAGACAGGGATTCTGCAAAATTTCCAGTAAAGAAACTGTATTTTAAAGCTGATGATGTTGATTATAAAACTCCTATCGTATTTAGGTTCCATTGAGTACACTGTTAAGTTTCTTTTTAAAAAAACAAATTACAGCCGAAACCGGTTTGGCTCAGTGGATAGAGCGTCGGCCTGCGGACTCAAGGGTCCCAGGTTCGATTCCGGTCAAGGGCATGTACCTGGGTTGCGGGCACATCCCCAGTAGGAGATGTGCAGGAGGCAGCTAATCGATGTTTCTCTCTCATCGATGTTTCTGACTCTCTATCTCTCTCCCTTCCTCTCTGTAAAAAATCAATAAAATATATTTAAAAAAAAACAAAAAAAAAAAAAAAAAAAAAAAAAAAACAAATTACAGTAAAGCATGTATAATCATCCATTAACTAAAAAATGAAAATTTTAAAAATATATATTAAAAGTTTAGAAAAGTAAACACTAAACTGTTATAATGTTTATCATTAGGAAATGTGATTAGAAAAGAGGTTTTGCATATTTTTATGCCTTTTTTCCTTGCTCAAACTTTCAAAATGAGGATATATGAGAGCTCTTAAAACAATATATTTAAGGTACTATTGGCATCTGCACAGCTACTTTTACTATTTTTAAAGTTTCACAACTTTTTAACCTATCACTTTGAGAATCTCGTGCAAGAATCACACAGAATCCCATGCTAAAGAATCAGACTTCCCCAGAATGGTATAAATCTGTTTTCTTGAACCCTCGCATGTGTGCATACACGTCCATTAAACACTCCCCACTCTGCCTGGTTCTACCATCCTACGAAGGAAAATAACCTGGTTCTTCTCTCCCAAATTCCCAAATATGAACTTCACCTCTGACAAAATTAGAAAATGGTAGTTCCCTTAGTCAGCCACCACCACCACCACCACGAGTAATTCTCCACCTAAATTAAAAATCATTTAAATAACAGAACATGTTCTGAGTAGCAAGTCTGAGGTTCTCTTGAGAGGATTTAAGTGAAATCTCCGAAGACTAACATATGCTGCTCAGAGAACCAAGAAGCAGAGAACACGCCTACAGCCAATAGTCAGCTCCAAGTGCTCTGTCCTTGGAGAGATGTACCTCCCACAGCCCTCTCCTGCCCTGACAGGTCCTATGAAGTCACTAAAGGATGGAGCCTGCCCACCTTCTCCTGCCCAACACTCTGCCTTTCGGCAAACAATAGAAACGCTTGCAGAATATAAGATAAGAAAAGCAAAGACGCATTATACAGAAACAGGAACACGATCTTAAAGTCTCAGATCAGGAAGAAATCTTTTAATGTACAATCTGGAAACAAAAACCCCAAAAGGTTATTTTTATAAAAGGGTCAAGAACCTATGGACAGGGCAAAAAGAACAGGTTTCTGTAGCCTCAGTTGTGGCATCTATACTCACACCCTCATTGTGAGATTAAGTAAGAATGCAGGTAAAGTTCTTTGCACAGTACTAAATAAATGCTATGTTATCACCATTGTTATTATTTTGTGACAGCAGCAAACTGTCGAATCAAAAACCCCACTGATCCTTTCCCAGAAAGACTCCCGGCAGAACTGAACAACACTAACTCAGGGGTAAGTCCACCTACCCAGGACCTCGGATGCCTCCAAGGTTCTCTCTTCGATGAAGGTGTTGTAGCACTCCAGCGCCGCCAGCAGCATGTCCATCCACTGCAGGGCGGCTCTCAGGCTGAACGGCCCTTGCACGTGGCAGAGGGTGGGCTGAGCCAGGATGCCTGACTGCCCATCGCAGCCCCCTCCTCCCCCCTCAAATGTGTTGATGAGAAAGGAAGCGTCTTTTCTCTTGATAACGTCTTTCAGCCATAAAGAAGGAGTTGTGTTGCCTGAAAAAAGAAACAAAATTAAACACACATGTAAATAACTATCACATAATTAAAATTATTTCATCCAATCACTGTTCCTAATTAGAAATAGCATCCCCCAATAATAATTTAAAAAAAAGGAAAATAAGTCTTTCAAGTTAAGAAATGTAATCAGAACAGAACAAGCCTGGCACTACACAGTATTTCAAGTATAGCTTTCCATTAAAATCCCACATAAACTATCTATCAGAACAGCAAAATTTCACAATGATCCAGGTAATCTTTTTTTTTACTATAGCACTCACAACCTGTTTCACTATAATTACTGCCAAAAGCATTTCCACCAAAAGCCATTCTTTCCTGTTTCTTTAAACATTATAAAAATAGTTGGACGCCATTTTAATAGCTTTAAACTTCGTGCCCTTTCTTTTGCCCTTTTTCTTTAATATTATTATTCCTTTTTAATAGAATAATTTAAGGAATGGGCACACAAAAACACTGTGATTCTTATATTCCTGTCTTGGTTGTGCTACCTCTCAGCTTTAGAGACCTGGCCTCACATGTCTGAGTTTACTTAACCTTAAATGAGAATCGTAACACTATCTACCTCTGAGGTTATTTCAAAGATTAACTGAATTAAAGTAGTTAATACTTTTTAAAGTGCTTAGAATGGAGTCTTCCATACAGTAAGTATTGTTTGTTAAATAAGAGACAAATGACTTGCTTGCTAAAAGATATTTTTCTTTTAAGTATTAATCATTTCTAAATTAAAGAAAAAAAATAAAATTATATTTTGTATTCTCTGATATGAGAGGCTCTGAAAGGTCAAATCATTTTCAGTCTAAAGACGTTCGTGAAGAATCCAAAACAGTAATGTAATTCTGTTGTATTCAGAAGAAACAGTTTTTCTTTTGTGTCAAAAACTACCTACCACAAGTTGTAAAAGTAAAAGATTAATATCATGTTTTCAGGTTTTGCTTTAGAAAGAAGTATTAAACCGTTCTATTATTTTCACTAAGAAAAGACAGAAAATAAAACTATAATAATGAGTGAAAATGAGATATTTAAATTTTACATTCAGTGCTAGCTGAAAGTGATAAAAAAAGTATAGAAATAAAGGACACACAAAAACAGAAGAGAAAGAAGACAAGAGAACATGAGAAAAGAGAGACAAGCTGAGAAAAACAGGAAAGCACATTTGGAACCTTCCCAGCTCTCTTCCCTTTTTCACCATCCTCCTCACAACAGTGGTTGTCTGTCACGCCGGCTTCCTTTTCACCATCCTCCTCACGACAGTGGTTGTCTGTCACGCTGGCTTTCAGTGTAACAGGCTCCCATTCACTGAGTCTCAGCATTCAGAGGTTCCTGACACAGCTCACAGGAACATACCTGCACCTGTTACTACGTTCCCTGATCTGGGTGTTGATGTGTCCAGCACCCCCTCATGGTGCTGGGCCTCAGGACACAGGACCTCTGATCTAAAGAGATGTCTAACGCTGTCCATTAAAAACCAATCGTGGAAAAGATGGAGGAGAGAGAGGCATATGCACCATGGGAGGAGACATTGGAGGCAAGTCAAGGAATGTTTATTAATTTTATAAAAACTGTATTTTGGTAGCAGGGCTAGGTTCACATACTTCGCATCCTTAGTTTAACAAACACAATTCTAAGAGGTAGAGCTCATTTGTTTCATTGAAAATATATGCAGTCCCTATTAGAGGAAATTGAGCAGAACAGCAAAAGAAATGTCTGGGATCAGTCAAGCTGGCATCACTAGATATCATGTGGGCGAGAGAGAGCCAGACACCCAAATATGAAGTAGGGTTTGCCAGCGAGTAGTTCTACCTATGTAATATCTGGGCCTCAGTTTCCTTTAAAAATAATGAACACATGCCCACCCCTCTACCCATTCACCCTTCACTGCCGTTTTAGATTTGGTATAAGAATAATTTAACATATAAAACAAACTTTAACTAAAAGCTGTGAGCAAATATGAAATAATAAACATTCTCTAAATTTAAAATATAAAGATACATTTCTACAATATAAATAAAATTATAGTATGTATAGTAAAATTATAGTATGTATATTATATGTATGCCACATATAATATATAGTATGAATACAATTATAATATACAGTATATAAAATGTAATATATAATGTTATATTTCATAATAAAAAAACATAGAATCCTTCTAAGCTTCAGAATTACGTGAATTTTTATCTCTTCACCATGAAGAAAAAGCCCCAAAGTAATACTCCACCCCACTTTCTAAAAACAACTGCCTCTCTATTATGATTCGTAGTGCACTGTCAGTAATTATCTTAAGTGTTTAAGTACAGTTTACTGGTGTAGTACATTCATTACTGAAAGCCACAGGTTCACTTCTTTCCTTTAATATCACAATGTCTGAGATCATTCAGACTTAGGAGACTATCAGTTTCTTATTAATTACATACTGAAATAAAACAACTACATTATTTCATTAACATTAATACTATTTTTAAATCTTAATTGATATCATGTTAACAACTGCAATGATAATCCAATTTTCTTTATTTCTTTTAAATGGGATAGAAAAGCAAAAATGTAGTTGAATAAAAAAAGATGCTGGAGATTCTAAATGTACTTCCTCTGTACCATTCGACTAACATCAAAATAGCATTTTTTCTTTCCTTCTCTAAAACTTTGAGAAATGTACACGCATAATTTATCATTTGTCACACAAGTGATTTGTAATGATTACTAAACATACTTAATGTTATGTTTATTAGAAACATATTATTTGTAATATTCATCTAAATAGTGTAAAGAATACATTTTAAATAAGTACACAACTCTAAACTACTGGTAAAGCAAAACCCAACATTTATAGGACATAAAGATCATCATACCTGGCAATAAAGGAACAAATTTATAAAACAGTTCTATGGATTTGTGTCGACATTCTGTCTGGGGCCTCCCACAATTGGCTAAAAGCCACTGGACCACATCCAACAAACACAATGATGCCGCAGGTGGAAATCCTCTATATGGAGATAACACAAGGTATATGATATACAACCCAATATTTAGTGTTTAAGTGACCCAAGAGTCTAGAAGTCAAAAACTCAAATTTGCCACAATGATACATGTAGAAATCTCATTAAAAGGCATTCAATTTATTTTTCATGTATTATCATTAGAATACAATAAAAATGGCATGTTAAATAGTCCCTAAATGCTACTTGCCTTCTTCCTGCACCCCCAGGGAAAATTATAAAACATTTCTTTAAAAATATAGCACCAAGTATTTTTATGTTTCCTGTACACTGCTCTTGAAAGCAAAAGAGCATTTATGATCAAAAGCAATGCTCCTCAAGCTGTGATCCCTGGACCAAGCTGCCTCAATATTACCTGTAAATGTGGCAGAAATGCAAATTCATGGCCCCACCCTAGACCTACTAAAACAGATTCTGAGGGCAGGGTCCAGTGACCTGTGTTTTAACTAAACCTCCAACTAATCCTGATGCATGCTCAAGCTTGAGAACCCATGGTTTAAAGAGATATAAGTTAATGGTAGAATGTGGAAGAATAAATTTTAAAAGAGGACATACTAATATCCAGTCTATATAAGCCAATGCTTTTACAGAGCAGCAGCCATCAGCAGACACCAGAGTTTCCTGCACAGGGGTTAATGCATGGCACACCCCCATCCTGTCTGAGAATGAGGCCTGCTGGGATGAAAATGAGAGCAAAGACTAGAAACGACTCAATAACCCAACCTTGGCTGTGAGCAGCTTCATCTCATCTATCTATACTAATAAAAGGGTAATATGCTAATTAGACCAGGAGACCCTCTGGACGCCCTTCCAAACAAAGCCATGGTGGTGGGGCCGAGGCAGAGGCGGTTAGGGGCGATCAGGCCAGGAGGGGAGGGCAGTTGGGGGCGATCAGGCCGGCAAGGGGGGGGCAACTGGGGGCAAGAAGACTGGCGGGGGGGGGGGGGGGGGGAGAGCAGGCTGGCAGGCAAAATGGTTAGGAGCGATCAGGCAGGCAGGCAGGTGAGAAGTTAGGAGCCAGCGGTCCTGGGTTGCGAGAGGGATGTCCGACTGCCGATTTAGGCCCGATCCCGCAAGGATTGGGCCTAAACTGGCAGTCGGACATCCCCCGAAGGGGTCCCAGATTGAAGAGGGTGAAGGCCGGGCTGAGGGACAACCCCCGCCCCCGTACACGAATTTCGTGCACCAGGCCACTAGTAAGTCTATAATTCCATGTCTGTCAAAATCCTTCTATTTCAATATTTTAGTTCTTATATTTCAAATTTACTCCAAAATAGTTCATACATATTCTAGGCAAATAATTCCACATCAAATTGGTATTCAAATTAGTGCAGGTAAAATAAATTGTTACAAACGAATTTTCAAATAATATCCACTGTACCAACCAAGATCAAATTAATACCTTAAGCCAAACAATTTCAAAGATAAAGCTTTTTAATGTCTTTGGAAAACTGACTCTTCATACTTCCACATTCCTTGTTTAGAAAACTAATTCTGGCCTGGCGGGTGTGGCTCAGTGGTTGAGTGTCAACCTATGAACCAGGAGGTCATGGTCCGATTACTGGTCAGGGCATATACCCAGGTTGTGGGGCATACAGGAGGCAGCCAATCAATGATACTCTTGTCATTAACATTTCTATCGCTCCCTCCTTCTCCCTTCCTCTCTGAAATCAATAAAAATATTTTTTTTAAACTAATTCTGCATATTTCCACACATTCCTCCCAAATTCTCCTTCATTAACTAAGAATTCACTTTATGTTGGGGAAAAATTGAAGGAATATCACCTACCGTGGGCAACGTCGTTTTTTTGCTTCATTTAAAGAAACATGCTTCTTTTCAATGATACGCCTTAGGTGATCAATGGCATCATGACATTGTTGAAGCGTACCTGTTCTCAAGTACAAAGATATAAGTCCAAAGAAGATATATGCTGGTTATTAATAAACTAGAGGCCCGATGCACGAAATTCATGCAAGGGGCTCGGCTCTCACAGCCCTGGACGGCCCTCACAGCCCCTGCTTCGTCCCGAAGGTCGTCCGGAAGGACATCTGGAAGGTCGTTAGGCTGTCCGGTCTAATTAGCATATTAGCTCTTTATTATATAGGATAAATTAGTATTATAGCTTTATTGGTGTAGTTTTCAATTAGAGGTAAATTTACAGTAGTTAGTATCTTTAAATCCCTCAGAATTTAAACTTTAAATAAATGATTTACATTGCATATCCAAAACCAAAACCCATATTTAAGAATGCAAGGCAGCCCTAGCCGGTTTGGCTCAGTGGATAGAGCGTCAGCCTGCAGACCAAAGAGTCCTGGGGGTTTGATTCCGGTCAAGGGCACATATCTCGGTTGCAGGATCCTCCTAGGCCCAGGCCCTGATCAGGGCGCGGGCAGGAGGCAACCAATCGATGTGTTTCTCTCACAATGATATTTCTCTCCGTCTTTCCCTCTTTCTTCCACTCTAAGAAATCAATGGAAAAATATCCTTGGGTTAGGATTGAAAAAAAAAATTGCAAGATAGTTATAGAGTACACTCACACATACAGCAATACCACACCTATTTAGAAACTGCCCCACCAGCCCTCTGGCCAGCCAAAGCACAGACTCATGTAATGGATTTAAGATGGAAGAGACTTTGAATATATTATAAAACCCACATACCATACAGAGCCTGTGTATCTCAATTTAAGGCTTTTATTTAAGGGGCATAACTTGACCTCCCCTTCTTCTTATGTAGGTTAAACTATATTATAGCTTACTAGAGGCCCAGTGCACAACATTCTTGCACTGGGAGGGGGGTCCCCTCAGCCTGGCCTGTGCTCTTTAGCAGTCCTAGCAGTCCGGGAGCCCTCGGGGGATATCCGACTGCCTAAGCCGTCAGTAGGACATCCTTAGTGCTGTCGCAGAGGCGGGAGGGGCTCCCACCACCACCGCTGTGCTTGCCAGCCGTCAGCCTGGCTTGTGGCTGAGTGGCGCGCCCCCTGTGGGAGTGCACTGACCACCAGTGGGCAGCTCCTACATTGAGCATCTGCCCCTGGTGTTCAGTGCATGTCATAGCGACCGGTCATTCTGCCATTCGGTCGATTTGCATATTACCCTTTTATTACATAGGCTAATACGACCACTATAGAAGAACAGAACTAAAATAGTAAAATGGTTATTTAGGAAAAGAGCCTTATAAAACTTATTTTAACCTGTTAACAAGAAAAAGTCTCCTGTTTATACTTTTTAAACATAGCAGTGATTTTTAAAAGAGTTTAAAAGTTTCATGTTTTGAAAAAAACAACATAAGATATAAAGGTAAAGAAAGCAATAGTAAACTATTTATGGCAAGGACTAAATTTTAAGCATTTTTGCCCATAGCAGGCTATATAGAGTTTAACGTGTCTTTTAAAAAAATAAACAGAAACCAAAATCTGGATAGATGAAAGAGAAATTCTGCCACCATGCAGCTATGTGACCTAGATTCGCTGTTCACATTCTCTGGGTACCTGGGCCCTGACCAGTGTGGAAATTGAATGGGGAAATCTCTAACGAGTCTTCCAGCTCAAATATTCATGATGTTCCTAACAGCTTCTGTCTAGAATTTATTCTTCTCTTAGCTACTTTAGCCTATTCCTGACTTAACTTTATTTCTTAATTATAGTCAAAAGAGCTTTCTCACAATCTTGTAATGAGACTTATGTTCTACTTTCTAAGTTATCATTAGTGAGCTCAGGAACACTGACCACATCTCAGTGGTTATCACATCCAGCTTTCTTTACATTGTACAATCGGTACACTTTCACATTTTATGTCATCATAGCAACTGGTTGGCTTCATTGAACTCACAATAAAATTGTCCCATCTGCCCTGCAGGATCTCTGAGCAATCAACGATCAACCTCAGTGGCCACCAGGGTACATGGTGACTCAGAGAAGGAGGGCATGGCAAACGCTTTTACAAACTGGAATTGAGGCACTGGAGGGGTATATATCCCCTTCACATGTATCACCCTAAATGGGAGACGTGAGAAAAGAACACCACTTTGTGACAGAAGTAGCTGAGGCTTAATCCCTGAGTGAAAAGCCCTTAAAATTTATCAGGCAAACAGAATCGGCATGCACAGAGAAGCTCGGATGAGACCTACCTAAGGATTTCTCATCCATATGTGCTAAGGCCAGACTTTCCATATATGTAACCAAGGCTTCAAACACGAACTGTTCTACCAGAGACTCTTCTTCCCTGTAAAATAAAGAATACGATCCTCACATAAGAAAACAATAAAGCAGAAATGACAAGGACAATAAGTAATGTTAGTAAACAATACATACATTAATTAAATTTATTCTTAAAAATGACTCAAGTGTTTTACAATATAAAACAACCTGTCCTGGCCAAGTGGCTCAGTTGTCTGGAGCATGTTATGGGTTCGATTCCGGGACAGGGCACATACCTAGGTTGTGGGTTGGGGCACATATGGGAGGCAACCAATCAATATTTCTCTCACATTGCTGTTTCTCTCTCTCCATGAGGATTAATGAAACAAAACAAAAACATAGAACAACCTAAAACACTTGTGAAAGAAGAAAACTTCCCAAACACTACATAAACCAAAAAAGGAAGCACTGGCTTTTTCTCTGTACATGTATTCCCCTCCCCTTATAACTGCAGTGCTCATAGCACGTAACCTGAGAACTGCTTTCTGACCACACTTCCACACACATCATTAAAATTAAATGTAGTACAAAAGAAGATCAGGTACCACATTTACATTCTTTTAAAATAAAGAAATTTTAAAAGCTTTCAACCTATCCAAAATCAAGTCAACACCAAGAGTTAACTCTAAGCCTTTTAAAAGCATATCAAGTACATGTAAATAATTAATTCCATCAGCAATATCTGTGGACCACCTACCTATACATAAACTCATGGGTTGGCCAAAGATAGAAGCCATATCTCTCACTGAAAAATATGTTCCTTAATAACACTGGACAGGTCTAGGCACTAAGTCTCATAGGAGTGCAGAGAAAACTAAGAATAAAAAGTTCTAGTTGTGGAAGCAGTGCTGAGTCCCTGCACACCTACTGGGAAGCAGTACTTTCCTGAAACAAAAAAACCCAAGAGTGGGACTCATCATCACCAGAGCTGACCTATGTTTCTTAACTGGACAAAGACTCCTGGCTGGCCTAACAACACTCTCTTCTAAGCTTCAAACTCCTCAATCAATACAAATATAAAATATCTTTATCTCCTTGTGTACCATCCTATTTCATATCTGAATTTCTCTAGCTGATCCCCATTCATCCTTTAAGTCTCATTTCAAGTACAAATGTGATAGGAAGCCTTCCCTAACCTACTCAAGCTGGGTTGGACACGTGTCTTCTGATGATCCAAAGGACCTTGCAGTGCCTTCTGTTGCATTTATAAGAGGCTGGAGTAGTATGTGTGATGCATTTCTCAGCAGTTCCTGAGCTTCTTGACTACAAACAGCACTTTAATCCAGTTTTTTAATCCCTAGAAACTAGAACAGCACCCAGCACACACGTATTAAATACTTGATATATGAATACACGAACACATAAACACTAAGTCACTTTTCCAAATCACTACAGAGAATTTAAAGAACTTGTTTTACACTCTCTCTGATCATGTGGTTTACTAACCTGAATTCCCTGTAGATATTATTAAAAGCAAGTGATGCTCCTAGCCTCTTGAAAGCATTGGGGTGAAGTGCAAAGCTGTACAGTCGCTTGAAAAGTGATTTGGTGTTTACTGAACTTTTCTCCTGCTGCTGTGGTGTTGTCTGTTTAATGGACCATCTGAGGAATTCTCGGATACACCGACCACAAAAGTCTCTCAAAGTACTGTCAATGGGGTCCACAATTCCATCCTAAAACAAAGCATAAAATGACAATTGAATACGCTGTCTTCCTCTGAGCATAACTAGAGTATGTTATAAAAATTAATTTACAGCACTATTCAAGAAAAAAACAAAACAATAATACCAATCTGTCTAAAATCTAGACTCTAATAATTTCCAACTGACATAATAACAATACTTTCTTTAAACAAATCCAGAAACTGAAAAATCCTTTTAAAAAAAGGAATGCTTTAATTAGTAACAACAAGCAGTCTTTCCCTGAAGAAACACAATGGCCACTTGCTAGGAATTTTTGTTGTTGACCTGACCCTATAACAGAATCTGAGATGCTTTATGTATTGAGGTTAAAGAGAATAAGACCCTTGCAAGTTCCAAAAAAATTGTACTGCTACATAAACAAAAACCACATGGAGATGTGGTTCTAGAAATGTAACTTTCCGTAAGAGTAATCTCCATAAAGACACAATCTCTAAATATCTGAAAAAACAGCTAAGGAAATTTGAATGTTTTTGTCTCCCTCTAGGCATTGATTCCTCTAGATCTATATAGAAAAAGTTTAACTTGAAAAAGTACACTGAACAATGAAATAAGGGAGTACTTCTGCCTAACATCCCCAGTTTTTTGCTATTTGTGAAATCTTTGATTATAGCGTTAATGAGAATTCTATGGAAATGGAAGAAGTTATGAACCACTTCTCGGAGCAGAGGTATATACTGTTTGTGTTCACATAAGGAAATTAGCAGTCCTTATTAGAAGACTGACAGCTGCCCTTTCACTTGAGTGCTGTACTACCAACTTCACATTTCCTCCTTTACCTTTTCTTTCTTCAACTATCTCTTTTACATTTTCATTATCTGACCCGAATGCTTTCTGAAGCTCTTATTTAAGCTAATTTCAAGGTTCAAAGGGGGGAAAAAATAGCTAAGATAAAAACTTCAGAATAAAAACATTAGAATAAGTTGATGTGAATGCAAACAAGCCAGAAATTTAATTTAATTTAATGTGCTTACATGAAGTTCAATATAGACAAAGCTAATCTATGATGATGAAAGCCAGAGTGGTAATCTCTAGGTTGAAGATAGTCTATATTGAACTTCATGTAAATGGACTCATTCTGTACCTACTCTTTTGTGTCTGACTTCCTTTAATCAACTTAATGTTTTTGAGACTAATCCATGTATTACATGTGTCACTAGTTTATTTTTTAATATTGTAGTACAATATGAATATTACACAGTTTATGTATCCATTACCCTGTTATTTTCAGTTCTGGGCTTATTAAGAATAAAGCTGTGTTAAACTTTTAAAAATAATTTAATGTATTTATTATAAGCAGGATTCACTGGTACATAGTGCAGAGAAATGAAGCATAGATATAATTATGTCACCATGTGAATAAGAACGTTCAGTAACTCTCCACTCCCCACAAAATGGCATCTATCCAATTAGGGTCACTCTGAGAGTGAAAGGAGTGCTCTTAATAGTTACATACACAACAGGCATATCCAGGACTGTCCTGGGAAAACTAGAATGTATGGTCAACCTACCTACAATATTCTGCTATTCTGACCCAACACACCTTCCTAGCCCCACCTTCTCAGCACAATGCTCCTATGCAAGCAAAACTCAAAACAGATCTAATTCTTACAAACACACCAAGCACCTAATGCCTTTATCTCCTTTGTCTGGATGCCCTTGTCAAATCCCCTATTTCCTCTGGCTTATTTCAAACAGAAGCAATACACAGATTTAAATCGGAATCAATCTGCAAAAGATATAATGATAGGACTTTGTTTGGATAAACTTTCTATATGTTTAACTGGGACTTTTGATTCCAAAGTCAGTATATGGCAAAAGAAAAATTATAGGTAAATAATAGGTAAAATCAAATCAAATAACATTCAATGGGTCAAATGTAAAGTTATTTGTACAAGTTCAGAAAATTATAATAAAACAAGTTTCAAAAGACACTAAGGCTTTAGCTGACCTCATTTTCTCTGCCTTTAGTGAACTTGTGACCAAATCTTAATGATTCTACCTCTAAGGTCAGAATAGTATTACGTAAATGCTAAGCTATTGTTCTAGGGCCCTTTAGTTGTTGAATCTGAAAGCAGGAGAAAACTGGATAAGTTAAAAATAATCCTTAATTATTGCACTAGAGATATTTTTTAAAATAGGTACTGCTAAAAGGGTTCTGATAAAAAAACAATTTTATTCACGCCTTCCACCCACAACCCCTCACGACAGTCTTAATATAGATCAAGTTTGTCACGTTTATGACCATTCTCCCCAAAATCAAAAAACTAATTAAAATGTGAATATTTGCTTGCAGATATTTAAAGGTATCACTTAAACAAATAAATATGGCATCCTGATTATTAAAATGGCATGTCACCAATTCTCTAAAACAAAAATATGATCTAGCTAAATGCTGTATTTTGATATCTTGACAGATAACGTTTCTTGAAGTGCTAAATACATATCAAATATAAGTAGAAAAATAGGAACAGCAGAAAAAAAGTCAACCCTTACTCACCAATATCGTTTCTAGTAAGGCAACAGTATCCTGGCTTTCAAATTTCTTATTGTTAGTGAACCAGTGAATCAGCTGCATAACCAGTGGCTCAAACAGTTGCCTTGTCACCTGAAGAGAAAATACCAAGAGAGTTTATTTTCTTCGTGTTGAAGTAACTTTATGTTGGAAAAGAGTCCATTTAAATGGCAGAAGCAAACTTAAGTGATAATACTGTCATGGTTTTGTTTCCTTTTCTAGTTAAATTCTATAATGAACAAGTTCTTCCCAATATACACACTAAAACTCATTGTTCTTCTAATCAAGAGGGCAATTGAGGATGAATATTATTGGTTTTATAGTACTCATCTTTATTAACTTGATCCTGAATGTGCACTTGAGGTATTGTGGGTCAGAAACATTATCATTATTCAACTAACAAGTAAATAATGACAAAGAGAAAGCCGGACTTAAGACTTGTATCACTGGAGAAGACAGCTGCCTCCCCATTGCTGCCAAATGAAAGAAGAAAAATCTCAACTCCTTAGAAATGTTAAGGATCCTGAGTTCTCACTCTTATAAACTTCCAGAATGTAAATAAAGTCTCTCCAGGGGCCAGACAGCCCTGTGGGTCTCTGGCTTTTACAATCCAGGGTGTCTTCCAGGCCTGGGTTCCCCCCTGTAAAAGGAAAAACCCAGGGAAACAGTGCCCACCTTTCTGAAACCTTGGGAGCTTAACCGAGTGGCCTACGTGTAACCCTGTGATCATCTTGGAGAGGGAAGAGAAGTTTTATTATCCTTTTGGATCAGAGCACTTACCTAGACAAATGGTTACAGACCCAATCCTCATTACATGGAGAGTAAAATGTTTGTAGCAAAGTGAAGGGGAGCACTCCCTATCTTTGTACCTTACACATTTCCGGGCCTCATGCATTCCCTATCCTTGTACCTTACACATTTCTGGGCCTCATGAGGCTAGGGCGCCACCTGGAGCACTGACAAATCCAGGAGTTTTGTTTCCCAACTGACACTGAGTTCAAGAATGAAGCACCTTGGCATGAACACTGCCACTCAAAAACCCTGTAAAAACCGTCCATGCCTCAGGGTGCAGAATAAACAACACAGAGACCTCTGGCAGCTGGATATTTTTCTATAAAATATATTTTTCTATCCTTCCTTTGAAGCAATTTTTAGGATTAATCAAAATAAAGGTCTTACCTTATAGTCTGAACTGGTCTTAAAGCATCACTTTCTTCTTCAAAAGAATTACACTGTTTTATTCTTAGTATATAAGGTATATATGTATGTCTACACACAGAAAACACATGCATGCACACATATACACACACACCACTTATAGAAATTATAGAAAATACAGAAAACCATCCACCTACAATCCTGTCTCCATAAGGCAACCACTGTTAACATTTAAAATTGCTGTTAACTTTCAAAATATTTTATTTACACACATTTAAATATATGTGTATACATGTATATACACATACATGTGTAAAAAATACTTTTTATAAGCACTTTTCCTCTTAATTTTGAATATTTTCCATATAAATACATAATCTGTGTCAGTATGTTTATTAGTTAGCCCAGTACCTCACATATGGATATACCATGATCCAATTACCCAAATCCTGTTATTAGAACTGCAGGTATATCTAATGTGTGACTAACAAGAAGTCCCAATGAAAAGTCCTGCACACACTGCTCTGAGTACGTCGGCAGGAATGAGACTGCTGGACTAGGGCTGCAGGTCACCAAGCCTTTTGCTCTGCCTGCAGAGAGCCTGTGGGAATCCACACTCTCAGCAGACAGAAGTCGCAGGGCCCTTTCCCTACATGCTGGCAATATCAACACTGTCACCTTTTAAAATATTTGACAAAAGCTGCAAACGATAACATTTTAACTTCCTTTTCTTTATTAAAAACGTTAATATTTTTAATTAGTTCACTAGCCATATATACTTCTTTGAGTTGTCTATTTTTGTTCTTGATCTTTTGTTTTAGATCTACATCTTCAGTAGAATGTAGCAAAAAAATTCCTACATTATATATATATTAAAATTGTGGTTTTTGTGCCATTCAGTAGTTTTAAACATTTGTAAAGTCAAATTATCACTACATTAGCACATTTCTTCTGTCTTCAATATCTTGTAGGAAAATCTCCCCTCCTATACAAACTTTATGAAAAGACAATTTTTTGAACATCTTTAATGTGATAACAAAATCCATGCAAATCAAATTTTATAAACAAAAGAAAGCAATTTTTAATGCTATCATCCTACATTTTACAAATAAAATGAAATACTTATGCATGTTTGTAAAATGTGTTTTTACAAAGATCTGGGAGTATATTTTTTGCGAAGATAAAGTGGCTTTTCCTGGGGAATAAGAGTGGGAAAGACAATATGGAGTTTTACTTTCAGTTTCATATGTTCCTATATTAATTAATATATTTTATCAATGAAAAAGACTATCCCAATCCAAATATACAGACAGGTACTATAAATTCATTATATTTTTCTTTTTTTTAATATGGAACACTTCACAAATTTGCATGTCATCCTTGTGCGGGGCCATGATAATCTTCTCCATATCGCTCCAATTTTAATATACGTGCTGCTGAAACGAGCACTACATTTTTCCCTAATATAGTTATAGTTTCTGTTTTTCCTTCTAAATCCTTTTGAGATTAATTTTTCATATGTTAGTCAGTTGGCCTAATATGATTTAGTAAATGATCCATTTCTCACTAACTTATAATATATATTCTTCCAAATACATAATTTTTTGTTGTTGTTAATCCTCACCCAAGGATATTTCTCCATTGATTTTTAGAGAGTAGAAGGGAGAGGAGAGACAGAGAGAGAGGGAAACATTGATGTGAGAAAGATACATCGATTGGTCGCCTCCCAAACAAACCCCGACCAGGGCAGAAGATCAAGCTTGCAACCAAGATGTATGTGTCCTTGATTGGAATCGAACCCACAACTCTTCAGTCCTCGGGCCGACGCTCTATCCACTGAGCCAAACCAGCTAAGGCTACTAAATATATAATTCTTATGTACATATGAGTCCCCTCCCCAACTACCAGACACTTCCACTGAACTACCTGTTATAACTTAGGTAGCTTCATTTTAACATCTGTTAGGGCAAGACCCCAGCACTCCACCCTTTCAAAATTTTTCTTGGTTAAGTTCAAGCAATTATTCTTTCAGATTACTTTTTAGGTTCAAACTGAACTTAATTGTGGGCTTTTTGTTGGAATGCTACCAAACACTATCTGATTTGAAAATAACTGGCATTTTTTTCAATATTGATTCTTCTAACTCAGGTACATAACATATTAATTTCATGTTCATAAAAAAATGTTTGTGCGGCATATTGAAGTTTATTGCTAGGCATTATCTATCAGTATATATATAATATATATATATATTATATATATATATATATTGATGCTATTATGAATGGGATGTTGTAAACATTTTTCAAGTGGTCATACTAATATATGACATATATGGGGATACTGATATACAAAAATTCATCAGCTTCCTCCTTTATTAATGCTTAGAATTTATCAGTTGATACCTTTGAGGTTTCTAGATTTTTAAAAAACTATATTCTAGCCGAAACCGGTTTGGCTCAGTGGATAGAGCATCGGCCTGCGGACTGAAAGGTCCCAGGTTCGATTCCGGTCAAGGGCATGTACCTGGGTTGCAGGCACATCCCCAGTGGGAGATGTGCAGGAGGCAGCTGATCGATGTTTCTCTCTCATCGATGTTTCTAACTCTCTATCTCTCTCCCTTCTTCTCTGTAAAAAAATCAATAAAATATATTTTAAAAAAAACAAAAAACTATATTCCAAATAATAATCCTTTCTCCTTCCTTTCTAATGTCCCTGCCCTCTGGAAACTCACAGCCTGAATTACAGGCCCAGATACTAACCACTACAAATAACTAACTAAATACAAGTGAAGCCATACTGAGCAACCAACAACTCCAAGCCACAGCTGCTGTTCCAGGTAGGACCTAGAGGCACCTATGAACAGGCCAAAGTCACTTCTCACCAATGGGTTCTGTTCAGGCCAAAGCACAAGGAAGCATTGGTGCTTCATGACTGAGGATGATTTGTCCCTGACATTCAGGGAGACATGCTTTATCATATTAAGATGATATTAAACTATCCCCAGTTTACCAGGAGCTAACAAATGCCCTTTAGGCTTCTATGATGAGGATAACTGCTTTTGAAATCAATTTCTGTGGTAAATTTCCAGTTTTAACCAAAAATCCTATTTAACCATGGTGCATCTCAATATTGCTGGATTGTATTCATTCAGATATCCTATATAATAAAAGGCTAATAAGCAAATCGACCGAACAGTGGAATGACCAGTCGCTATGACACATACTGACCACCAGGGGGCAGACGCTCAATGCAGGCTCACGGCTGGCGAGCGCAGTGGCCATGGCGGGAACCTCTCCCACCTCTGTGGCAGCGCTAAGGATAGCCCACTGCTGGCCTAAGCTGTCAGTCAGACATCCCCCAAGGGCTCCCGGACTGCGAGAGGGTGCAGGCTGGGCTGAGGGACCCCCAAGTGCACTATTTCGTGCACCGGGCCTCTAGTATTGAATAATTTTCCAGTTATACTTATGAGTTTTTCGTTTTCTTCTTTCATGTGTGCACCTGATATCAGGATTATGTGAGCTCCATAAAATGAACTGAGAATTCCATTCTTTTCTGCTTCATTACAGCAGTAAGACTTTGTGCATATCAGCAGTAATAGGCCATTTGTCACCATTTCCAGTCTCTTTCATGATTGCTATGTGAGTCCCTACATGTGAGGGGCAATAGTTAACTCAGCTTTTAGATGCCTAGACTCTCAGTAACCCTAACCAGACAGTGATTCCCAAACTTTATGGCACATGAAAAATCACCAGGCCAGTTTTTAAAAGTCACGATCCCAGGTCAGATCCCTGAGGGATTAAGAGTCTGCGGATAGCAGCCAGGTAGCAGTATTTTTTTTTAAGATTCCCAGGTGATTCTAATGTGAAGCAAAATTTGATGATCACTGAACTAGACAGAACTTTAAAAAATTTTTTGCAACTATTTCAGATTCAAAAGCAATCACTTACCTGATCTACATCACATGCAAGTCGAAGTAGCACAGGAAAAGTTCGCTTATAGAGTTGGTACATAGGTGGGGAACCCTGACCACCTTCAGGTATTTGAGTGGCTTTGCCCAACATAAACATAACCATGCTATGTAAAAGTTCACAAGCTGCAACCTAAAATAGGCCAGGAGTTCAAAAAAGTTTAAGTTTTCATGTTAACAAGAGAAGAATATTTATAAATGATACTCAATTTAGAAAAAAACTATCATGCCCAAATTATAAGTTAGCTGGAAGAAGCACTTCTTATTGTATAAAATTAATGCTTTTCTGTTCACTTTGATCCTTAACCAAGAGTTAAGAATTGAAATTTAAAAACTTTAGGCAATGGGACTAATACATTCATAAGAAACATACTTCGCCGAAACCGGTTTGGCTCAGTGGACAGAGCGTTGGCCTGCGGACTGAAAGGTCCCAGGTTTGATTCCGGTCAAGGGCATGTACCTGGGTTGTGGGCACATCCCCAGTAGGAGATGTGCAGGAGGCAGCTGATCGATGTTTCTCTCTCATCGATGTTTCTAACTCTCTATCTCTCTCCCTTCCTCTCTGTAAAAAATCAATAAAATATATTTAAAAAAAAAAAAAAAGAAACATACTTCAATGCTGCCATATTGTGGAACTTTGCTTCATTTGTTAGCACATTTTCAATTATCACTACTACAGTGAATATCTGAAGCATTCTGAAAATGTACAAGTTACTAGAAAAACTTGGGATTATATGTTTCTAATCTCCCAGCTTGAGAAGATGATCGAACACATGAAAAATCGCTGTTAAATGCCCTTTGTACTATATTTTCTAATATAAAGTTTCTGGTATATTAATGTTTTGCCAGGTTATTATCTATTAAGATGATTTATGTTTAGCTTTCATTTGTCAATGATATCTTCTGATAATTAAGTCATTTTCTAATTATTATATTACAGAAAATATAAAATTAATATTAAAATGGCTGAAATATATTATCTATTCCCTAAAAAATATATGTCTTAAAACCAATAGACTCTAAATAATAGTGAAATGAAAAATAAAAGTACTTTAGTTTGTCTGTCACTGGCTGAAAGAGCTAGTTCCGTAACCCGAGGCAGATATATATCCAGGTAAATGACAGGCTTCATATCCATAAATGGTACTGAAAAACTGAGTCTTTTTTCTCTATCCCATGCTACATATTTCTTCATCATTTCATCTGAGGATGCAGCTGTTAAAAAATATTAAGAAGAGCGTGCTTTTTTTCATTCAAAACATTCTCATACTAACTGCTTACAATTCATTAGTGAAACCAGAGTATTTTGTTATACTTTTAAGTTAAGCACTTTATTCATTATTCCTCTTGTTACTGCACACATGTAACTACAACATTAGAAATCACGGATATACTATTTTTGAATTTAATTTAAAGTAATATTATTTTTAAATAAGTCTAATAATCTGGGGTGTTGAATTTTCACTTTCAGCAAAGACTTAAGGTAATCTGTGGAAAAATTACAAGTAAATAATACTCTTATTAAAAATCTCTTTAAAACACTTATTTTCCCAATATAGGCTATTTTTTCCTAAATAACCAAAAGTCACTAGTATGTTTAATATAAAATTTCAAATGTAAAAATAGATGAATTTTTGCTAAACGAAATGTTAATTCTCATTAAAAACACTCTAAAAATATCCAAAATTAAGAATATCATGTTTAAAAAATATTGAATTCCTGAAACACTTAATATAAAAAAGAATATCAAATTAGATTGTTTCAAAATGAAAAATATGTTTAATAACCAAACTAGAACATTTTCCCTGTTACTTTAAAAAAATTATTCAGATTGCATGGTACAATCAAAGCACTTCATTAGGCAATTATTCTTTGTAATCTTATTTGAAAATATGTAAATCACATATAGGATAAATATGAGAATATACCATGATCTGTATACATCTAAATTAAAGGACAAATACATCTCTAGGGGTTAATTTATTTTAATTAAAAGTTCATTTACCTGTTACAAGATTTTTGCTTACTTGTCCTCCTAGAGTGCCAAGCATTTGTACTACTCTAATCCTTATTTCTTCTAAGGACAGTGCTTCATTCTGCAATGGAACAATCGCATTACATGTGATGATAACTGAGTTAAAAATTAAAAAGATTTATGAGAGGAAAGAAAAACAATTTTACAACTCTCTTTATTGTTCATGTTTCCCAGTGGTCCACTGTATCCTACACAGTACTACTGTTAATTTTATTGCAAATTCATGAAAAGAAGAAACATCTCTTCTAAATATTCCAGTTACATGTCGATTTCCTAGGCCAGCGATTCCAAAGTTTCAGCAGAACCTGTCACACCCTTAAAAGTTACTAAGGATTCCCCAAAGAGCTATAATGTTAGTCATATTTATCAATATTTATCATATTAGAAGTTAAATCTTAGAAATTATTTAAATAATTACTTTATTTTAAAAAACTAAACCCATTACATGTTAACAAATGACATGTTTTTAGAAAAAGTAACTACACAGGATGGGCAAAATGGGTGTACAGTTGTGAGTATGCAAAACAGTTTATTCTTGTATTATTATTTATTAATTATTGTATTATTTTCCATATAAACAACTATAAACCTACTGTTGCCTCACCCTGTATTTTCCAAATAAACAAACAAAAACCTTAGAAAGCGGCATTGTATCACATTTGTGCAAATTATTTTCTGGCTTGCTAGAAGACAGCTCTTATGACATGTTGTTAGGGCTACAGTTGAAAGCTATAGAAGGAGGGAGTCGTATTTTGTTGTTCCTTTCAGATAGCTATGATTATTCTTTGATAGTACACCAACACTAACAAGTGCTAGTTCCTTAAAGATTAGTTAAAATGAGGAACCAGAAACTTTATCAATAAATTTTATGCACTCTATTACATTAAAATCCATTGGTTTATCTTGCACTTTGAGTGGATTTTTTACCCTTGCATGATTTGGTAACATAATATATTGTTCATCTGAAGTTACTGGTTTATTGATAACTACCAAATATTGAAACATTTGATTATATATACAAAAAATCACTTGTTAATATTACCACAAATGTCATCAGAACATTGCCAGGGGTGCTTCCATTTGTTGTTGTTGTTGCCAGTACTACAGATGCCCTCCAATTTTGCCCTTCATCAAACCCCCCCCCTCCCCAGGCCTTCCCCACACTATTGTCTGTGTCCATGGGTTATGTATATATGCATACATGTTCTTGGGTTAATCTCTCCCTGTCCCCTGCATCACCCTCCCCACTGAGGTCTGTTATTCTATCCCATACATCCATGCCTCTGGACCTGTTTTGTTCATCAGTTTATTTTATTCATTAGATTCCACATATAAGCAAGATCTTGTGATGTTTGTCTTTCTCTAACTGGCTCATTTCACTTAGCATAATAGTCTCAAGGTCCATCCATGCTGTCACATTCCATTGTGTAAATGTAGCACAGCTTTTTTATCTACTCATCTACCGATGGGCACTTGGGCTGTTTTCGAATATTAGCTATTGTAAATAATGCTGTTATGAACATAAGGGTGCATATATTTTTTCTGATTGGTGTCTTGGAATTCTTAGGATATATTCTCAGAAGTGGGATCGCTGGGTCAAACGGCAGTTCCATTTTTTAATTTTTTGAGGAAACTCCATACTGTTTTCCACAGTGGCTGCACCAGTCTGCACTCCCACCAGCAGTGTACTAGGGTTCCCTGTTCTCCGTATCCCTGTCAGCACTACTGCTTGTTGATGTATTGATGGTAGCTATTCTGGCAGGTGTGAGGTGATATCTCATTGTAGTTTTAATTTGCTGATCTATCTGATGATTAGTGACTTTGAGCATTTTTGCATATGTCTTTTTGGCCATCTGTCCTCTTTGGAGAAATGTCTATTCAGGTCCTTTGCCCTTTATTTAATTGGATTGAGAAAAATCTTTTAAGTATTGAAGAGCTGTCAAGTTCATGGTGATGGTTATAAGTTTTCCAAAATTTTAACTTTCTTCTTTTTTTAAATATATTTTTCTTGATTTTGGAGAGGGAGGGACAGGGAGAACGAGATAGAAACACCAATGATGAGAGAGAATCATTGACTGGCTGCCTCCCTCCTGCATGCCCCACACTGGGGATCGATACAGCAACCCGGGCATGTGCCCTGACCAGGAATTGAACCATGACCTCCTGGTTCATAGGTCGACACTCAACCACTGAGCTACATCGACTGGTATGTCTGTCATTCGTTCTTTCAAATAAATATGGTGTTCTTGAAAGAAAGTGGCTACATTAGTTCAAAGCTCAAAGAAAGCATCACACAAGTGCTTTTCCTAAAGACAACTGTCACACTTCACTATGCAGCAGATTGCTTTAGGCAGACTCCCTGTTTCATCACACAGAATATTTAAAAAAATGTATACTCAAGGGTCAAAACTTAATAAAGTGCTAAGGAACCAATAGTGTTACCCATCATTACACCACAGTGAAAACATCAACAAGTTAAAGTAGTGTGGCCTAGCACTGAAATCACCTGGGGAGCTAGGGAGCAGAGATTGTGTATCTACAAAGAGATTTTATTTGCAAAACTGGAGATAAGCTCAAATACTTTCATCTTGTTTTATCAATATGTAATCAAATAATTTTTAAAAATTAGACAACCATTTCTAAGATCATTCAAGTCTCTCAATCAAAAGCTATCAAAAATAAGGTGGGAAGAGTTTACCCTGGAGTATGCATTATCAATTCTAGACAGTAATATTTTTCAAAATTTTATACTACACAGCAACAATAATCAAAAAAACATTATATTGACAGAAAAACAGACACACAGACCAATGGAACAGAATTGAGAGCCCAGACATAAATCACATGTATATGGGCAAATAACTGTTTATCAAATAAATAAACTAGAGAGAGAGGGAGAGAGAGGGAGGGGGGAGAGAGAGATTATTCCATTTATTTATGCATTCATTGGCTAACTCTTACATGAGACCTGACCGAGCATCAAACCCACAACTTTGGTGTATAGGGACGACGCTCTAACCAACTAAGCTATCCAGCCAGAGCCTGGACAAATAATTTTGGGCAAAGGAGCCAAAACATGCAATGAAGAAAAGAAAGACTCTTCAGTAAATGGTGCTGGAAAAATGGAAAAGCCACTTGAAAAAGAGTAATACTAGACTGCTATCACCATACACAAAAATTAACTCAAAATGTATCAAAGATCTAATTATAAGACCTGAAACGATAAAAAACATAGAAGAAAACGTAGATAGTAAAGTTATGGACCTTGGTCTTAAAGAGGGTTTTATGAACTTGCCATCAAAGGCCAGGAAAATAAAGGCAAAAGTAAATGAATGAGACTACATCAAACTAAAAAGCAGAAAAACCATCAACAAAACAAAAAGGGAACCAACCAAATGAGAGAAGATATTTGCAAACAATACCTCTGGTAAGGGGTTAATATCCAAAATATATAAACAACTCAACAATAAAAAACAAAAAATCCAATTAAAAAATGGGAAGAGGAGAAGAGTCACTTCTCTCAAGACATACACTGGCCAACAGACATGTGGAAAGATCCTCACCTTCACTAGCTATTAGGGAAATGCAAATCAAAACTACCATGAGAGCCCAGCCAGTGTTGCTCAGTGCTGGAGCATCAACCAATGAACCAAGAGGTTGCTTGTTCGTATCCCAGTCAGGGCACATGCCCGGGCGATCGGCTCAATCCCCAGTATGGGGTGTTGCAGGAGGCAGCCAATCAATGTTTCTCATCAATGTTTCTATCTCTCCATCCCTCTCCCTTCCTCTCTCTTTCAAATTAATAAAAACACATTTTAAAAAAATACTACCATGAGATACCACCTTACACCTGTTACAATGGCTATCATCAACAAAACAAGTAATAACAAGTGTTGGAGAGATTGTGGAGAACAAGGAATCCCTATATTGATGATGGGGATATACTAGTAAACTGATATAGCCACTATTGAAAACAGTATAGAGCAGAGGTTGCCAACAGGTGGTCCGTGAGGTCCAAAAGGTTGGCGACCGCTGGTATAGAGGTTCCTCAAAAAAGTATGGAGTTACCATATGACTGGGTGTCTACCTGAAAAACTTGAAAACATTCATTCATAAAGATACATGCACCCCTATGTTCATTGCAGCATTATTCACGGTGACCAAGATGTGGAAACAACTAAAATGTCCTTCAATAAATGACTGAATAAAGAAGATGTGGTATGCACATACATGAAATACTGCCATTTGCAACAACATGGATGGACCTTGAGAATATCATGCTAATTTCACTCATATGAAGGATATGAAATTGAAAACAACAAATGAACAAATAAAACCAATAGACAAACAAAAACTCATAGATAACAGGCAACAGTATGGTGGTTACCAGAGGGAAATGGGGTGGAAGGAAGGTAGCAAAGGATAAAGAGGGTCAAATATATGGTGACGAAAAGAGAGTTCACTTTGAGTGGTAAACACACAATGCAAAATACAGATGATATATTATAGAATTCTATACCGGAAACACATATGATTTTATTAACCCATGTCATCACAATAAATTTAATTTTAAAATATTTTCTGTTTTCCAAATTTTAATTTTCACTTTATACCTATATACTAATCCAATTTTCTCTATTTACATCATTTTTTCCAATTATATTACAAGCCATATCTGAAAAATACTATCAATAAATTAACATGATAAAAAAATACTGACATGACTTCAACTTGACAACATTATATACTTAACACATTGTGAACGGATCATGAGAATTCCTGTGTTTTCTGTTCTAAAGTGTGTGGCCAAGCACAAAAATTCTTTAAAAAGATATTAGCTTGTAAGAACATGTAATAAATAACTTCAAAATGCAATGGGTATTTAATTTTAAAGCGTACCTCTAACATTTATGTAAAACGTTTTTTGTACTCGTTCAATAGAACTTATCTGGCCACTGAGTAAAGCTAGCAATAAAACTACTGGTCCACAATGTATTAAGATCCAATCAGCAAATAAATCAATCGTTCATAATATCAGTATTCCCACTGTTTACTGATTTCGAACTAATTACTTTTTATTATCCACTAACTATACTTAAAGATGGAGACAAACAGGAAAACAAGATCAAGACAGTAAACTAAATAATTTAGCTACACTTTTATTGCTAAAAATATATTGAGATTATTTCTATGCCGTATTCTAATTTATATATAACACTAAGATTTTAAATAAAGATTTTTACTTTTCAGAAGCATTGGAATCTGATCTTTGCATTATTTAAGGTAAAGAAAATATAAAGGATTTCTTACTGATAAGATGTTCTTTGTGCTTTTCAGATGCTTCAACACAACTTTATTAAATCCTCTCTGGGCAGCCCGAGAAAGTGCTGACACTTCCCAGTTATTCTTGTTCTCACCTATCAACAGAAAACAAAAATGAATTTTAAATAGCAATCATTCATTGGTTTGATTAATATTAGGGTGAACATACTATATTACCAAATCGAGACATTAAAATCCTAATTTTAATTATGATTAAAAATTACTGCCGAACCGGTTTGGCTCAGTGGATAGAGCGCTGGCCTGTGGACTGAAAGGTCCCAAGTTCGATTCCGGTCAAGGGCATGTACCGTGGTTACGTGCACATCCCCACTGGGGGGCGTGCAGGAGGCAGCTGATCGATGTTTCTCTCTCATCGATGTTTCTAACTCTCTATCCCTCTCCCTTCCTCTCTGTAAAAAATCAATAAAATATATTAAAAAAAAATACTAAGTTTCTAAAACAAAAATATATTAATAGTGGTTGTCTTAGTTTTAAACATCATTGTCTACACAAAGAAATATGATTCCTTGAAGAAGTGTCTAATTCCAGAGATTGGGCAGGAAACACACTAAACTAATAATCAGAGGTAATGGGGCTTCAGGAAAGAAAAGTTTTACACTATACATCCTAACTTTATATAAGTTTATTATTATTAAAAAGTATTTCTCGCCGAAACCGGTTTGGCTCAGTGGATAGAGCGTCAGCCTGCGGACTGAAAGGTCCCAGGTTCGATTCCGGTCAAGGGCATGTACCTGGGTTGCAGGCACATCCCCAGTAGGAGATGTGCAGGAGGCAGCTGATCGATGTTTCTCTCTCATCGATGTTTCTAACTCTCTATCCCTCTCCCTTCCTTTCTGTAAAAAATCAATAAAATATATTTTTAAAAAAAGTATTTCTCTACATAACCACATAACTATCCAATTCAGGCCACAGTCCTTGAGACATTGCCCATATTTAATCCTTAGCCCCATTCAGGTTCTAGCATTGATCCCAAGTTCAGAACCATATTACATTTGTTGTTTGCTTCTTTAGGATCTTTTAAACTGAAACAGCTCTTCAGTCTTTCCTTGCATTTAATGATTTAAACATTTTTAAAATTATATGCCAGTAATTTTGTACACTGTCCCTCTATTTGAGTTTTCTAATGTATTCTCAGGACTAGATTCAGATTATAGAAACCAGCCGTAACATCCTACTAATTCCTTTAATTAGCTATTGAGTTAAATAAAATCTTTGATATGTGTTCATTTATATCACCACAGTCATAATTGCATAGCTATAAAGTTATCTTTCACTGGTTCTGGAGAAGCCTAGATTTGCTGACAGAGCCGGGTAAACTGCATTGCTGAAGGATACACACCTCACAGGTTTAACCCCAGCCTATCTTCTTGGCTCCTAGAAATGAATCCCAAATGACAATAGAACCTTGCCCAGCTTTCTGCTAACCTAGTTCCTGCCTTTACATGATTTCATGCTTTTGGTTTGCTTATGCCCAATCAGCTGGTTCCCACGGATGGGAGTAATGTCTGAGAATTTGGGTTTATGGTCTACTGACCATTTGGTAAACTTCTGTGGACAGATTTTAGAGATTTCTTCTCTATTGGGCCAGAGATGAAAAAGAGCATTTGTTTTTCAGTGTCTTTTTATTATTATTTTGTAGCTCAAATTAGTTAATTTTGTACACTGGGAAAAACAGCTCTTTAATATTTGAACTGCTCAGTGTTTTGTTGGTGTCTTGTGTCTCTTGAGCTATGATCCAAATTGCAGAATTAAAGCTATAAGCTCTCCATTTGCCTGTGTGTCTATTAGCCTGATTTGAGAAAGGCTTTTACTTCGTTCCTTATGTGTATAATGTTCTCCTATATTTGGAGGGTATTAATACATTAGATTATAAAGTCTCTTAAATTTAAAATCTGTTCTGACTTATTTTTACAAATTAATAAATTTACATAAAGTGAATCTTCCTACATTTTTCTGAAAATAAGGACACTGTGCTTATAATGTTGTAAATGAGCCAGAGTTTTTTAAAAATCTTACAGAAACTAGCTCAGAAGCATTTTAGGAATCCATGTTCACATAATTCAGGTACATCTTTGGAACATGAGGCAAGTTTAAAAATCTGGGTTTAAAAAAAGAAATATATTTTTTCTACCAGAGTTCAGCATAATACAGTATACATTTTATTCTACTTGAGTCTTTTTTTGCTATACTAATTCAGGCTTACTAGGCCAGGAAGTTAACATACTTCTCATAAGCTTCTATTGTGGTATAAAACGTATAACATAAGATGTATTCTTATAACTATTTTAAGTATACAATTAAATGACATTGACAACAGTCACAATGTTGTGCTCACCACTATCCATCTCCAGAATTTCTCATCATCACAAACAGTCCTACATAAGTTTTAAGTTTATGAAAAGTGTTATAAGTTTATGTTCAAATAAACTGAATCTTTATTTGGGCAAATTTTTTATTTCCCCAGTAATTATGTTTTACAGCATTTCAGCTAAAAGACAATTTCTAAGATTTGCAGGTAACTTGAAAACTGGACTGAATGAGTTAATTAATGGATAATCTATACCAGTGATGGCGAACCTATGACATGCATGTCAGAGGTGATACGTGAACTCATTTTTTTGGTTGATTTTTCTTTGTTAAATGGCATTTAAATATATAAAATAAATATCAAAAATATAAGTCTTTGTTTTACTATGGTTGCAAATATCAAAAAAATTTCTATATGTGACACGGCACCAGAGTTAAGTTAGGGTTTTTCAAAATGCTGACACGCTGAGCTCAAAAGGTTTGCCATCACTGATCTATACTAATACAAGAGTAATATGCTAATTAGACCGGATAAACCGGACGTCTTCCAGATGTCCTTCCAGACAAAGCCTCGGAAGGGGGGGGGGGTGCTGAGGCAGAGGTGGTTAGGGGCGATCAGGTCAACAGGGGAGAGCAGTTAGGGGCGATCAGGCCAGCAGGGGAGAGCAGTTAGGGGCAATCAGGTCGGCAGGGGAGAGCAGTTAGGAGCAATCAGGTCCGCAGGGGAGAGCAGTTAGGGGCGATCAGCCCAGCAGGGGAGAGCAGTTAGGGGCAATCAGGTCGGCAGGGGAGAGCAGTTAGGAGCAATCAGGCTGGCAGGCAGAGGCAGTTAGGGGCGATCAGGCAGGCAGGCAGAGAGGTTAGGGGCGATCAGGCAGGCAGGCAGAGAGGTTAGGGGCAATCAGGCAGGCAGGCAGAGGCAGTTAGGGGCGATCAGGCAGGCAGGCAGAGAGGTTAGGGACGATCAGGCAGGCAGGGAGAGAGGTTGGGGCAATTAGGCAGGCAGGCAGAGAAGTTAGGGGCGATCAGGTTAGGGGTGATCAGGCAGGCAGGCAGGTGAGCAGTTAGGAGCCAGCGGTCCTGGATTGCGAGAGGGATATCCGACTGCCGGTTGAGGCCCGGATTGGAGAGGGTGCAGGCTAGGCTGAGGGGACCCCACCCCATGCACAAATTTTGTGCACCAAGCCTCTAGTCTATAATAAAAGCATAATATGCTAATTAGACCAGACAGCCGAACAACCTTCCCGACGTCCTTCTGAACGACCTTCCAGACGAAGCTGCAGCTGCAAGGACCGAGGCAAGATGCTGCAGCTTCGAGGGCTGAGGCAAGCCATGTAGGCTGTGAGGGCCAAGCCCCTTGCATGAATTTCGTGCATCAGGCCTCTAGTTTTTTATAAGGCAGTGAACCAAAAGCTATAAGGAGTTCAAGGTATTTATGATAAGTTCTTGCCCTTGAAGATGTTATAAAGCTTAGCAGAATATAAGTAAATAAACTGAACAATAAGTCTAATGCCTCAGTTATATTTCCCATGTCCCAATTATACTGAAATGAATTGGAAAGATTACAAAAATACCAATCAAACAGATTTTGAATACGTTGGGTTCATATTTCAGAAACTGCAAAACTACAAATAGTAGTCCTATTATAATTATTACATTGCCCTCTTATTTGTTACACATAATTCTTTTAAACCTTACCTGATAAGGCTGAAGTTTTCAAATACCCATCAAGACTAGGGAGAATGTCCTTATAATAGGGCTGGATTACTTGTTTACTGATGTGAGCCGACCATTCTTCTAGGGCACGCAAGCCTGCTTCTGCCAGTGGGGGATAGCTCAGGCCCAGTTTAAAAGCCATCTATATGTTAATACAAACATGGTAAACTGAGACGCAGTAATTTAAGATTTAAAGAAAAAAACACCACCAATTAATTATGGTTTCTAATAAATAAGCCTTTCTACAGCCAGAATGCGAGACCCTGCTAGAGGTAAGTGGGTGCATCCCAGGTTATTAGAAAACCCAGCACCACTAGTCTATATGGTTGGTGACATGCTGCAGACTTTCAACACATCCATCTATAAGGGAAGCTCAGAGAGGACAAGACAAGTGTCCCAAGTCCCAAAACTACTAAGTAGCAGAAGTAGAACTTAAACTAGGGTGTCTGATTAGCAAGCATCTACTGTGACTGCTATGAAAAGACCTTCATATTTCAGAAATTGCATATTTCAGATATTTCCATGTTTTCTAGGAATTCATATATATATAAAATTGATTTTCTCAAGACAATGCATTTACCTGTAATGCGGGAACGTAGGCTCTAACATCAAGTTCAATGATGTCATGTGGCAGGGATAGAATAAAGGTCAAACAGGAGGCCAAAAGTTCATCTTTGTATTGCTTCATTTTAACTGATACCTAAAAAAGAAAGAAGAGAAAAACCTCAGAGGGAAGGCAGAGGAGGGTGGGTGGGAAGAGATTAACCAATGAACTTGTAATCATATATGCATAACCCATGGACACAGAGAATGGAGCTATGCATATATGGGTCTGGGGAGGTGGGGGGGGGGGGTGGAGAAGGGGCTGGAGGGAGTTAATGGGGGGAAAAGGAGAAAGCTATGTAATACTTTCAACAATAAAGATTTTTTTAAAAAATCTGAATAGCGCCTATGCTTTGAAATCAACTAAAAAATAGTTACCTATTCTCAAATATGAAAAATGATAATGCAGCCTTTATTTGACATGGCCATGTTCATTTTCAAATAAAGACTGACCTCTAGGAAAAGTTTATTTGAAGTAATTAAATCCCATTATATGGAAAAGCTAAAGAATCTATTAATTTTGAGTTTCCATCACACAAATTATTTTAAGAAAACTCAAGGGACTTTTGAAGCATAATGGTTTGCCCTGTTAGTGTTTCTTAATCCTTTAATCTGGATCTGGATAAAACAAACCAATTTTTAAGTAATTAGATTATTTATGAACACATTTTTTTAACATACATTCATTTTTTAAAAGCCCATTTTTTAAAAACCCAGTGGATAAATCATTTTAAAATTACCTCTTTACCAAATTTTGCAAATAAAGCGAAGCAAGAATACTTTTCTGGGTTCTCAGGTGACTGTTTCTGACTCTTAGGACCAACTCCCTGATGAATAAAATAGTAAATTAGTACAGTGACAAATAACCAGATATTTCTGTGTCCTAAGCCCAGTAATCCCCCTCCTTTCTTCTGAGAGGTGAACTCATATTCATTTGCCAAGGTTTCATGCAGATGAGCAGGCAGAGGCCAGTGAGAAACGGCATGCGTGGGAGGTGGATGGCTGGTCAAAGAGCCACAGGCTTAGCTAAGTCCTCTCCCCTTTCCTCATCTTCCAATACACACACTTATGAGCAATGAGACCTGCTCATCCTATAATTAACCAGTCAGAATACTCATGAATGACGTAAGCCTTAGGTGCACTAATCCAATTATGCTCAAACTTCACTAACCACTTGAGTGGCCACCTGAGTGGCCTGTTAGCACAAACTGCTGAGCGCTGCCCGGAGAGCTTCCCATAAACGTGGAGAGGGCATGAGATGTCCCAAGTAACACTGGGCTGCTGGCGTAGGCCCACACTTTAAGAACCTCTGTTATGGCCCAGCTGGTGTGGCTTGGAGGTTGAGCATCCACCTATGAATCTGGAGCTCGCAGTTTGATTCCAGATCAGGGCACATGCCTGGACTTTGGGCTCGATTCCCAGCCCAGGAAGTGTGCAGGAGGCAGCTGATCAATGATTCTCTCTCATCACTGATGTTTCTCTCTCTCTTTCCCTCTCCCTTCCTCTCTGAAATCTATAAAAATATACTAAAAAAAAGAACCTCTGTTATGCCCTAGCCCGTGTGGCTCAATTGGTTAAGTGCCTTCCCAAAAGGTCACTAATTGATTCCCGGTCAGGGTACATGCCCAGGTTTCGGGTTCAATCCCCAGTCGAGGTGTGTGCGGGAAACAACCAATTGATGTTTCTCTCTCACATCGACGTGTTTTATTTTTCTCTCTCTCTCTTCATTTCTCTCTTTAAAAAACAAACAAAACAAAACAAAAACTCCACAAAATATTAAAATAAAATTTAAAAATCTTCATAAAAAGAACCTCTGTTAATCTAACACAATTAGCCAGGTGCTTGTAAATCAGAACAGAAAATGCTATTAGTTAACTTTTTTAAGTGTCATCCAATTGCCACTCACATCATCAGTTTCTAAAAATACAGATAATAAAATTAGACTTTAAAGTGCAATATGCTACAATCTCATATTTTTATAATATTTATACAGACACATGCAATCTAAAAAAAAAAAAAATACAGGCATATTCAATGTCCTGCAAAAACACTTACCTCAAAATATTTTATTTTCTTGGCATTACTCACAGCAATAGAAAGCAATTTGTAGAAACCACTAATGAGTGGCAACCGTATACACTGACATATTAATTCATATGCAAATGAGTATAACCAGGGCTCAAAAAATTCTACATGTTTCTCAGGAAGAATCTCTCTGTAAAAACAAATTAAAAGCTTAATGTAGAAATTTTTATCACACTATTTTTATTCCGCTTTGAAATTATACGGCACATAATTAAAAGGTCTACGATTCCATTATATAATATTTTTAGGTATATCTATAATCCTTTTTGTTTCCTACTTGAGGATCTTTTAAATATAAAGATAATAGTACATTTAAAATATTTTAACAATTCATAGAAGCAATTTAGATTTTTAAGTCTTTTGCTATTTTATTTCTTATAGCTATATAATAATTTTTCCTATATTATAGCCAATGACTGACAATTTTCTCTCTTAAATAATCAGAATTTTTAAAAAAAAATACCTGCAAAATTCCACCAGGTTAATGAAAGCTGAAAAATCTTTAGGTTTAGCAGGATACAAATTAGCAGCTGGATCTGAAGTCGGGATCACCCAAACACCAGTGGGTTCATTTTCATCCTTAAAAATTGTACCAAAACAAACATTATACCAGTCAATCACACATTCATTCAACATATAACTGACCAACTGACTTCACAGCCAAGGTCTGATGTTATAAGGAAGGAATGCAAAAGTGAGAAAAGTACAGATGAGTCCTCAAAGCTTGCAATTTGAGAAAAATGATAGAACTCACAGAAAATACTAAATCTTTTCTTTTAAAAGGATATATGGGAAATGGTAAAATAAAGTGATAAAAAATGATATGGATACAAAAATACAAAGGGAGGAGTATCATTTGTTAAAGGAGCTAGCAATGATGTCATGACAGAGGTAGAATTTCCAAACTTAAAGTTTATAGAAAGCATCAATAATAATGGACTTGGAAGTTTCAAACTAAGAAACAGGAATAATTAACAGTATTAAGTAATAGTAACTGACTATTAAGTTACACACTGAGTTTGTGTTATAAAATTCAGGCTAAAATTATTTCATACATACACAAAGCACAAAAAGCAGTAAAACACACACTGGTGTTCCCATCAACCAGCATAAAAATTTCAACATTACAAGCACTATTAAGTCAATGTGACAAACGGCCTTTTCTGTTTTATTATCCTCTGCATATCCTCCCCATTATCTCTTACCTAACTTTGCAGCATCACACATATGCATTAACTCTAACAAGCATAATCTAGTTTTTAAAAAAAAATCACTGGGCCCACCATAGTGTTTTGTTGCTAAAACTCCTCAAGTAAGAGCAGAGCAACTCCCAGCTAGCACTCTAAAGCCATGAAAACTGGGTACAGACAACAGTCCTTTCCTGACTATGGTCTATATTCTACTATCTTAAGAACACATTTAATACTGTGCACCTGAATCGGGAGTTTCCTTAGCTATAAAGAAGAGGAATACCAGGTTTCCTTATCCTACTGCAAAGTCACCTCTGCACAAAATAGGACTTGACGTTTTACTATTGCTAAGGAACAAATAATAAAAGAAGCGAAGTACACAACTTTTCACACAAAAATTCTTTTAACATATTAAACACATAAATTACTTACTTTTGAAAAATCTAGTGATAACATTTGCTACACATTAGGCCAGTGGTCGGCAAACTCATTAGTCAACAGAGCCAAATATCAACAGTACAACGATTGAAATTTCTCTTGAGAGCCAAATTTTTTAAACTTAAACTATATAGGTAGGTACATTATTATTAACTTAATTAGGGTACTCCTAAGCTGGCCTTTTGCTAAAAACGGTACGTTCGCTGAGGTCGACCCCTTCCAACTCTCCCATCCACACTCGTCTTGTATACTTGTTTCGTCTATCAGATAGAAAACTGTGGCTCGCGAGCCACATGTGGCTCTGTGGCCCCTTGAGTGTGGCTCTTCCACAAAATACCAACTTCTGCGCGTGGGCCACGAAGTTTCAATCGCACTGTACGTGCGCACCCGCACGTGGTATTTTGTGGAAGAGCCACACTCAAGGGACAAAGAGCCGCATGTGGCTCTCGAGCCGCAGTTTGCCGACACTGCATTAGGCTATTACAAAAGTATCAATAATATATATTAATGTGGAAGAAACCAATTTTCTACACACTCTACAAATGTGCTAGACCTACAAAGAGAGTTGGTATAAAAACGATGCGAAATTATTAGTGACAAAAATTCTAACCTCTTGTTCTCCAACATTCTGTTTTTTTAGTGTAAGATCCAATTTGTCAACAATCTTCAAAACAGATTTTACAAATTCATCATATAGCAAGCGATTCAGTCTTTGAAGGGAGGAATTCACAAAGAAAAATGCTTCATCTGCTAAAACAGAATCCTTTAAAAAAATCATAAACAAAATTTTGTCCATAAAAGTATCAAAATTAGTACTAAATATGCATTAAAATATATACAGATGTACATGCATATTTAGGTATTATAAAAATGCTGTATAAACTGTAACAGACTTATCTGGAAGTTTACAAGCTCAAATTGTAGACACCTTCCTAAATTATTAGGACAATATCATTTTGGTCAGATAATATTATTATCTAGTCATGTAGCAAATACTAGGTACATAGTAATAAATAAGAAGATTCAGGCCAATCCTTATCAAAGCATTTCCCCCAATTAATTTGTGTGTTTGTGTGTATACACTTGCATACTATACACACATACCATATGCACATACACACATACATGTATCTAGATCAGGGGTCCTCAAACTACGGCCCGAGGGCCACATGCAAATACAAATATTGTATTTGTTCCCGTTTTGTTTTTTTACTTCAAAATAAGATATGTGCAGTGTGCATAGGAATTTGTTCATAGTTTTTTTTTAAACTATAGTCCGGCCCTCCAATGGTCTGAGGGACAGTGAACTGGCCCCCTGTTTAAAAGGTTTGAGGACCCCTGATCTAGATAAATATATATCTATCCTCAGAATGGATTTAAAAGCATCATCTATCATTTCTCTAAAAGTGAAACTATTTTACCATTTCAAAAATATAGGCCAATTACTGAGTAAAGACTCAGTCAAATATTCTATGGAACTTAACCTCAAAATATAGGGCTATTTAACCTCATATAAGAAAAAAATGTTTTAGGTAAAATTACTAACACTGCTATTTTACCTCAATAAGAAAACAACTAAAAACTCCTGAGATTTGTCACAGAATAGAAATCATCCACTGCCAAAAATTGTTTTTTCTAGTCTGTTAATGCTTTGTCAGTCTGTTAAAATGGTGGCCAGAACCTGGCTTTAAAACATCTGCTTAGAAACATATTAGGCAGGAGGCATTACTCTAATCATAGATGATATAAATAATAGCTGTGCACCAATCTCCTTCATACCTATTAAGTCAATTGGATTTATCTTCATCTTTAACAAATAAGAATAGCTCTATTATATTTTTGGTTGGATCTATTAGAAAGAAAAACAGCACCAACTACATTACACTAATACTTAAAGCTAAAACATGCACTCAGTAATTAATTTTAAATGAGTTCTCTATAATTTAGCTCCTTATTTTTTTTAGAGGAGGAAAGCCCAGTTTTATTCTCTAACGGCTTCAGCTTCCAGGCAATCCTGCTGTGGTGGTGGTGGCAATGGCAGTGGTGGCTAACCAGGCACCCAAAACTCCAAAGGAGAGCCCTATCTCACCAGAGAAACTATGCGGGAATAGTCACATTGGGTTTTTTCCTCTCTCGATCCTCTTACTACTCGACCCTGGAAGCAAAGGTAGCTAGCCCATTTCTTCCTTTGGCCTTTAATTTGCAGAAAGATTAAAAGCTTCTGATCACTTTTTTTTTTTCTGAAATATTCTTCCACTGCACTGACCAATAATTTTGTTCCTTTTAATTTACTTTTTTCTAGTTTCATTTTATCCTAACTTACACTGTTTTGATTTCTTATTACTTGTAGTACTTTCTAAATAAATGACTAAAAGTCAGAAAAATATAATTCTGAAATAAATAATTCTTAAGTGTATAAACTATGCACATAATACAGAGGAACAAGGGTATTTTATGACTTTAAAGTTGTCATTTTTACCATTATCTGGTCACAGCTCAGAAGATTTCTAAAAAGATCCAAATAGTCTTTGTATGTGGGTACTTTCCATTTGCCAGTTCTAACTTCCCCTGATGCACGATGGTCTTCCAATTCAGACTCAGCACCCTGGACAGGAAGAGATCACACCAATATTTACTAATGAAGTCACAAAGTTAAGCATTGCTGCCAGAACTTCCTGATTTTCAGAATTTTCTAAGCTAAATCAGCTACCAGTAGGAGACTATAGTATGATTGAAGAAGATAATACATTATGAAAGCATAATAAAAAGGCAAGCTGAAAGCAGGATTCTTCTCACTGGGACTAAAAGAGTGATGTGCTAATATTTCAAAAACAATATCCATGGGATGTGTTATAAGGCTTTTACCTCACCTTCTTATACAGGCCTATCTCTCATCTCATCCTGTAACTTCAAGTTAAGTAAGATGTGTTCCATAATACACCTAAGTATTTTGTCCTAAAATTTCAAGAGAAAAAAATATTCCCTATTTGTAAAAAGTTGTATATAACAGTAAATATGTTTAAGGATATTTCATAACTTAGGAGTTTATTCGCCTGAAAAAAATATAGAGCTATTAATCCTAACTTTCCAAATTGTACAGCATGGCTAATAACTAAAAAGGCCACTTTTATATATTACAGACTACGAAGTCCAGAAACATTTCTAACTTTCAGAGACAAAGTTCTAATTTTCAAAACATTAGATTCAGAATTTACCTTTTGAAGGATCACTGCTTTAGAACATATTCTGATTAAACTCTGATGCACTGAAAAAAAGAAAACAAAAACAAAAATGAAGTAAACAATGAAAACTACAACCAAACAACAAAAATGATAGTCATCCTTTTTATTAACATAACTTTACTTCTCAATTTTTTTTTCTAAGTTTGTTAAAATCTTTAATTTAACAAACTTAGAGTTTGTTAAATCTGTACTATTCAGATTCAGAAGCACAAGGAAGAGAAAAAAAAAGATTCAAAAAAAGCATAGAAAAAAGAGATTTTGGTCCACCAAAATATATGGAGTTCTCCAAGAGACATCAAAAGATACAAAAGAATTTGGCAACCTGATGTTCTTCATCTATATCATAAAACATGTTAAGTGTTCATTATTCATTATGAAAACAAAAGTGAATTCCAAACTTACCCACAGTATTAATGCAATTCCAGAGAACTGGTCCTTTTTCTGCTAAGGCTAGGAAAACTTTCACTATGGCTTTACAACATACCAACTGCATTTTTGGACTATACTGTGGGAAACTGTCTATCTGTATCACCATGAGATGTTCCAGAACTGAAGTATACACCTCAGGGACCTATTAGAAATGGAGAGCAAACTAAAAGTTAGGGAAGGAAATGAATAAATATGGGAATAACACAAATATTCAAATTAATTACAACCCATTAGACACTATTAGATCAATAAAAAACCTGTTTTGTTATCTATATCTACTAATAAATTTAACATTTATTATTGTGATTACATTTTTAAAAATCAGAGAAAAACTGTCTGAATGATACTTAAAATGAAATTCTATCCCAAGCAGCGATCTTAATTAACCTTTAGAAAGGCAGAAAGAGTAACAAATAACTTTTCCTGCTGTGGGTAACAAAAAGTCAGGTTTCATGACTATAATTCCACTGACACAAAATACTAATTAAAAATGTCACCCTGATCATAATGGGGCCTGTACTGAGTGCATACTGTTCATACAATTCCATTAAGTTATTGAAGAACTGAGATTAAATAAGTTATGCTCAGTTTAAGTAATTATTCCACTTACTGTATCCAGGTAAAGCAAGACACTTGCAATAGACTGGAGGAAGCTTGGCATCTGGTAAATGTGGTCATCAATAGTGTCCATCTGGGTGAGGAACAGCTGCTTGCAGCGTTGAATGAGCTCTACATACATGAAGTCAACATCTTTTGCATTTATGACCTTGCAAGGCTTTAGGAAAGGTAAATAGAAACCTTTATCAAACTTATCAATATCAAAATAATGCTATTTAAGGTGTCTTATTACACCATGATTATAAACTAAATATTAAAAAGGTTTTTAATGGAGAATAGAGATATAAAATACAGTATATCTTACAAAAATGTTTTAAATAATCTGTAAATACACTCTAAATAAGTTTTCATACACAAAGCATCTAGATTTTCAACTATATTCTAGACCAGTGATGGCGAACCTTTTGAGCCCGGCGTGTCAGCATTTTGAAAAACCCTAACTTAACTCTGGTGCCGTGTCACATATAGAAATGTTTTGATATTTGCAACCATAGTAAAACAAAGACTTATATTTTTGATATTTATTTTATATATTTAAATGCCATTTAACAAAGAAAAATCAATCAAAAAAATGAGTTCGCGTGTCACCTCTGACGCGCGTGTCATAGGTTCGCCATCACTGTTCAAGACACTATTTCGATAGTAGGTATCAAAGACAAAAAGACGCAGTCCCAGTCCCCATGAGGCTAGTCACCCAGAAGAGACTGACAACTACATTCAAACTTGGAACACACAACTACTCCACACCGAACACTGTAAGCCATCTTTGTAACTCACAGATCTGATAACGCTACTACCCAGCTTCAGATTTAGCCTTCAGATCTAGCCCGGCCTCCTTAAGGATCTGACTAGTTTCTCCTTTAGAGCCCTCTCTCCTGCCTTCCTTGTCTATCATGCTCTAGTTACACTGTGAACACATCTAACTACATTGAACAAGTTGAAGTTGGTTAGACCACAGTGTATGAAGTTCAGTTCAAAATTCCATGCTCTCATTTACTGCTGAGGCGTCTTATATAATGTTTCTTCTGCCCTAAGTATTTTAAAGGAGCTAACAGAGACAAATGGAAGCAAATGAGGAAGTATCAGGATGAAATGAATAGTGACAGTGGAAGGCTGAAAAAGGCCCTCTCGTTCTCTGAAACAAGGGAGTAGACACTGAAGATTAATCTGTAGAAAGAGAGGTAGCAAGTGATTTTCTCCATAAAAGAGAAGTCAGAGATCCACTAAGAGGGAAATAACTATGGCTATTCTCATTATTCTTATATATAGCTCCTTCTGTCATTAGAATTTCTATTTTTAAAATGTTGAGTACCATCAACTATAATTTTACTTCATAAATAAGAGGCAGCATAGCACAGTGGAAAAACACATGCTGTTTCTAGTCTTCACACCTAAATTTATGTCTTGGTTTTGTCAATTATCAACTGTATGTCCTTTAGTAAGTTACTCAATTCCTCTAGAGCTGTTTCTCATCTGTAAAGTGAAATAATACTCCTAAAAGCTTGGAGGGGAGTTATGAGGATTTGAGATAACACACACAGAATCTTCGTACATAGTAGGCACTGAAAAAACAAGTTACTAGTGCCCGGCCTGCATGGCTCCGTGGTTGAGCACTGACCTATGGACCAGAAAGTCATGGTTTGATTCCCGGTGAGGGCACATGCCCAGGTTGTGGGCTCAATCCCTAGTGTCAGGTGTGCAGGAGGTGTGATTCTCTCAATTCATTGATGTTTCTATTTCTCTCTCTCCCTTTCTCTCTAAAATCAATTTAAAAATTTTTTTTAAATTAACAGTAAAGCAAATAACAACAAAATTATCTCAAGTATGACATACTTTAAAATGCAATAAATTATATCTCTTTAAATACTCCCAATAAAACTAAAATTAAGAGAGAATTAATGATCCATACTCCTGCAAAAAGTCCATATCCACGAATCGCAATGGATAAATCCTTGCTGTTTGAATCCATGTTCCTGATGATTCCATAGAATTGTTCCATGAAGTACTGCAGCTTACTTTTATGCATTTCTGCATCTTTTGCCACCAGAAAAGAAACCTGCAATTGCATAATATTTACTTTTTAAAAACATAAAATGGCAAAACAAAGTAATCTATACAAATGAGAAAGGCTAGGATTGGTTAAGTAGAAATCATTAGTGTGTTTCATAGTTACATACAATCACTTTTACTCATAAAGAATCACTGATTCAATCTGCTTAGTCTCCAACAAGTTCAGAAAAGACACTCCCTTAAACAAGGCTTTATTATATGTGATGTATTTTTCCTAGAGAATGGAACTGAAAGAGACCAAAGAAATGCTGGAAGACCTATGTACAAAAGAAAAAAAGGTTTTGAATTAAGGCTTTCTGATGAAGCAGAAATCATGTTTAGAGCTCATCTGTGGCACACAGGACAATCGACACAGAGTTGTGCACTCCCCATGGCCAGCAAGTTCAGAAATCAGCAACCGACTGGGAGCCTCATTAGCAACTCAAAATGAAGTTCAGAACTAATCATCAGAAAGACAAGGCATCTCATTTTTCCAGAAAATAAGCCCTAGCCAGTTTGGCTGAGTGGATAGAGCGTCGGTCTGTGACCCAAAGGGTCCCGGGTTCAATTCCAGTCAAGGGCACATACCTCAGTTGCAGGCTCCTCCTCAGCCTGGGGCCCTGGTTAGGGCTTGTACAGGAGGCAACCAATCAATGTGTTTCTCTCACATAAATATTTCTCTCTGTCTTTCCCTCTCTCTTCCACTCTCTCTAAAAACCAATGGAAAAATATCTTCATGCCCGCTGGCGTGGCTCATTGTTTGAGCACTGACCTATGAACCAGGAGGTCATGGATTCAATTCCCAGTCAGGGCACATGCCCAGGTTATGGGCTCGATCCCCAGTGTGGGGTGTACAGGAGGCAGCTGATTACTAGTAATGATTCTCATCACTGATGTTTCTACCTCTCTCTCCCTCTCCCTTCCTCTCTTGAAATCAATAAAAAAATATGTATTTTTTGCCTTAGCCGGTTTGGTTCAGTGGATAGAGCATCAGCCTGTGGACTAGAGTCCCAGGTTCGATTCCGGTCAAAGGCACGTACCTTGGTTGCAAGCTCCTACCCAGCCTAGCCCTGGTCAGGGCTTGCGCAGGAGGCAACCAATCGACGTGTTTCCCTCACAACAATGTTTCTGTCTTTCCCTCTCTTCCACTTTCCCTAAAACTCAATGGAAAAATATCCTCAAGTGATGATTAACTATTTATTTATTTATTTATTTATTTATTTATTTATTTATTTATTTTTAAAGCCACAAGCTAAGGCTTAAATAAGTTAGGTGAGGCAAAAGAAAAACGTACTTTGAGAAGCAAGTACATCACTATCTACCAAACTGACAACTGCCTAAATGCAAGACCATAAGTGTTCAAAAAAGCATTCTAATTTCAGCACAAAGACATCCAAGACAAGAATGAAAAGACTCTAGACAACTATCAAAGGCAGAAAAAGGATATCCACCTTTCATTTCCATGACCCAACCTCACACAAAGTCCCACAGGTCTTAGCATATGTCCTTTACAGGCACTTTACTCCCTATTTATTTTAGAAGAAAGGTATAGCACACATACTGCTTCTTAATTTCTTTTTCCATAAACATATCATGAATATGTTCCTCAAAAAGTAAACAAATACCACCTTTTGTTTTTCAAATATATTTTTATTGATTTCAGAGAGGAAGGGAGAGGGAGAGAGAGATAGAAACATCAATGATGAGAGAGATTCACCAATCGGATGCCTCCTGCACACCCCCTAGTGGGGATCAAGCCCACAACCCTTGACCGGAATCCGCAGGCTGACACTCTACCCGCTGAGCCAAACCAGCTAGGGCCAATACCATCTTAATAACTGAATAAAGTATCACATGATCTCACTCATATGTGGAATCTAATGAACAAAATAAACTGATGAACAAAACAGATCGAGACATAGAAGCATAAAACAGAATGCGGAATCTCAGCAGGAAGGCGGGAGTGGGTGGGAAGAGATCAACCAAAGAACTTGTATGCATATATGCATAACCCATGGACACAGACAAGGGGGCGGTAAAGGCCTGGGGCAGAAGGCGGGCTAGAAGAGGTCAATGGAGGGAAAAAGGGACACATGTAATACTTCCAACAATGAAGATTTAATTTAAAAAAATAAAAGATAAAAGTATGATGTGCCAATAAAAACCCCTTTTTCATTTTATGAATATACTATGTTTATGAATTTTAAATTTTTCTAATTTTTTTGTACTTTCAACAAACATACTTCTTATGCATTTTTATCCAAAAGTTTTATTTATAGTAGCAAAAACTTTGAAATAATTATCAAATAGTAGAGAATAGGTAAAAATATTTTGGCTCATATATATAATCCTATATAATAAAGAGCTAATATGCAAATGGTCGTCACACCCTCACATTGTCACACCATCACGCAGTAACTGCTCAGACACTCAACACTGGGGAGAGAGGAATGGGGACCAGCCAGACACAAATGAGCTCGCAAGAGAGGAATGGGGACCAGCCAGGCACTAATGACCTCTCGAGAGAAGAATGGGGACCAGCCAGGCTACGGCCCAGGAGAGGGACAAGCCGCCCACCCCGCAGTCTCGGGCACCAGCAGCTGCGCCTGCACCTACGGCCCGGGAGAGGGACAAGCTGCACGCCCCACGGTCCCAGGCACCGGCATCTGGGGCTGTGGCCCGGGAGAGGGACAAGCCACCCTCCTCGCAGTCCCGGCTGCCAGCAGCTGCACCTGCACCCCGGGAGAGGGACAAGCTGCACGCCCTGCGGTCCGGGGTGCCGGTGGCTGGGATTGCGGCCCAGGAGAGGGACAAGCCGCCCACCCCGTGGTCCCAGGTGCCAATGGCTGCACCTGTGCCTGTGGTCTGGGAGAGGGACAAACTGCCCACCCCACGGTCCCAGGCGCCAGTGCTTGCTGCTGTGGCTAGCCCGGGTGAAGCCGACCTGGGTCCTCAGTGCCTGCGGCCAGCCAGAGGGAGGGAAGCCCGGGTCCTGGGTGCCTGCGACCAGCCAGAGGGAATCCTGGATCCCGGGTGCGGGGTGAGGCAGAGGCGGTTAGGGGCGATCAGGCAGGCAGGTGAGCGGTTAGGAGCCAGCAGTCCCGGATTGCGAGAGGCAGTCGGACATCCCCCGAGGGGTCCCAGATTGGAGAGGGTGCAGGCCGGGCTGAGGGACCCCTGCTCCCCCTACCCCCATGCACAAATTTTGTGCCCCAGGCCTCTAGTCTATAATAATAAAAGCATAATATGCTAATTAGACCGAACGTCCTTCTGGACGAAGCCTGGGCTGCAGCTGCGGGATGGAGGCAGCCACGAGGGAGGGATCCAGGCAGCTGGCCTGCAGCTGCGAGGGAGGGATCCAGACAGCCGGCCTGCAGCTGTGAGGGACAGATCCAGGCAGCCGGCCCGTGGCTGCGAGGGATGGACCCAGGCAGCCGCTGCGGCTATGAAGGCCTACTCTTGCACCAATTTCATGCATCGGGCCTCCAGTGATACATAACAACTATGTTGCCATTAAAAATTAATCAACCAGAGTGGCTCAGTTGGTTGAGCGTCATCCTTTGCACCAAAGGGTTGCCTGTCCAATACCTGGTCAGGGCACACACTGGGTTACATGTTCAAGCACTTACGGAAGGCAACCAATACATGTTTCTCACATCAATGTTTCCCTCCCCTCCTCTTTCTCTCTCTCTCTCTCTCTCTCTCTCTCTCTCTCTCTCTCCCTCAATCTAAGCACATCCTCGGGTGAGAACTAAAAAACAAAAATTAGTCATGTAGACCTTAAAGTGCTATCAGGAAAACCTATTCAACAAAATGGAAAATCATAAGGCTATAAAAATTACAAATAATATTCCTTTACGTCTCTTCCTCCCTCCTCATTCCTTCCTTGTGGGGATGAAGAGAGCAAAAGGGGGATAAGAGGGAAAGAGGGACAGAGAAAGGGAGGGGAAGGTCTAAAAGTATCACCACAAAAATGGTGATTTTTTTTCCCCTTGGTGGTAAAATTTCAGAAGATTTTAACAGTCTCCTTTGTACTCTTCTATATATTTTTAATTATATGCAACCAACCTGAAAATGTTTTTCATAAAAACTGTGTAAAAAGGTATTGGATAAAAAAAATTCTTCAGGAGTAATGTTTAAAATTTTTAAATGCAGGACATATAGTAGTCAAGACAATATTAGAAAAGAAAAAATTAAGTTGGAGGATATCCACTACTTTATTTCAAGACTTAATATAAAGGCAGAGTAATCAAGACAGTGAGGTAGTGATATAAAAATAGACAAAAAGATGAATGGAACAAAATAGAAAGTACACAAATAAACCCACACATATTTGCTCTACTGGTTTTTAACAAAGGTACCAAGGAAAGTCAATGAGAAAAAAAGAGACCTCAGTAAGTGGTGCTCAAACCAAAAAAGTGAGGGAGGAAAATAACTCCAACCCTTACTTAACACTCTACACAAAAGTAATTCAAAATAGATTACAGACCTAAACGTAAACGCTAAAAACTATAAACTCAAAGCATCTTGAAGAAAAAGAAAAGAAAATCTCTGCAGGCTTGGAATAAACAAATATTTTCTACATAGGATATAGAAAGGAGGAACTAGTTGGAAAATTGGTAAAATGTACTTCATCGAACTTTTAAAACTTCTGCTCATTGAAAGATACTGTTAGGCAAATGATAAGGCGAGCATCACGGCAGTGTATGACTGCCTCTTTGTATCTCTCCTTAAATCTACAACTAGTCAAACACCTATAATCCCACAAACATTCCTCTGCTCAACACATTAGGATACCTAAGAGATCCACACATCAGTACATTAGTACATTAGAAGGTGGGCATATTATAAGACGTACGGGAGGCAGGCTGGGGGGGTAGAACAGAGACAGTGCCTATACCTGCTCTTCCCTGGCCACCATGGGTAAGCCTGTGGCCGCAGTGAACAGAGTAACAGTGGAGGAGACAGCGTATGACCTCTCACAACACAGACTATGATAGAGGAGAG